AGAAGAGAACATGAGCTGAGAAGTAATACTAGTTTGCCAGAAGGACCACATTGAAGTTACTTAAAGTGACACTGTATATGTGTGTGTTAAGTAGTCACAGCTCCAAGCTCGCTCATGTGATGAACTACAATCTCAATACAAATTAGTAAACTAAACATGAGATTGTACGCCATCACAGGAGTGAGCTTGGAGCGGTGACTACTTTACAGCACACACAGGGAACATAGGGAACAAAAGTAGTCACCCTCCAGAAGGAAGGACAGTGTCAGCACCAATTCAGAGATGATTTGAGGATCTACAGCTGAGTGATACATAAATAAGATACATTTTTGTTAATAGTTAAGGTACCTGAATGTATTTTTAAGATTTAACTCTGTCACTTTACGTGAGGAGAGATGGAGAAGAACCAGTGCTCAACATACACATGCACACTGACCATCACACACACTAAGAGGTTTTTCTTAACCCAGCAGAACATGCACAATCAGAACACTGTGCACATACACTAAAAACATACCCCGAGCACACAGAACATTTAGTGCACATGCAACACATAGGTCTCACACACACACACACACACACACACACAGAACACATGGCCCGAACAGTGAGAACACACAATTTACAGTGCCACTCATCCATGTTGTGGTAAACATTGTGGCAGCATTACTATTTCTATGTAACATTGAAGTTCTTTATACAAGTAATGCATAGATGTGCACATGTGCGAGGTTTCTCTGTTGTATGTCTGCCAAGTGGCATCTAAGTTGTACCAACATATAGTGGCTTGGTTGGTGCAGAAGTACTTTATGCTCGGTAACATACAAGAGACGAGGGCAAGACAGATTAGCAACAATGGCAAATGTCTGCACAATAATAAGTTATTGTGTAGCACCACTCTAGTATTGTGTAATATCACTGCTAGTTTAAACGAACAGTTCAAGCCCTTTTTAGTTGTCCCTTATTTACCGTATGCAATAAAGGTAAAAGTGGGGACAATGTTATCAGATATTTGTTATCTTGGTATCTTCTATCTGACAACACTAGCATTATTCCCTTGCACATGCGGATAATGTAAAGTCTTAAACAACATGGCAATATTTAGTGAAGGCTGTAAGAACAGGTCTCACAATGAAAAGAATGCAGCGGGCTACAGGAAGATATTGGTATGTCTTACACAGGTATATGGAGTTAGGTTTTTGGGACTTTAAAAATGTGGAGAGCAACAATATAATACGGTAGGTACCACACTTGTACAGCCATTTTGGGTTAGCCCCGTGACAACATATCACTGGAACTTATATGATGCAATCCAGGGCTTGGATGCAGTGGGGTCAGTGGAGAACTACACATTAGTACAGTGGTGGTCAGTATGTCCTTGGAAGTTGTGGCAGTTTTCTTTCTCTGTCACTAAGCTTCAGGCTGTAAGGCCCATACAAAGGTTGCTTGCTCTCCTGCCTTAGCTCAGGGATGACTTAATACATTTGATCTGCTATAGGAGGGAAAACTTACAATTAAAAAAGGTTTTAGTCTCCTTTTAATGTAATCCTGTTAAGCTGGCCATTCACTGCTTGAATTTCGTCCAAGTATTGGTGATTTCCTTGCCCTATATATTATAACAGTGGACATTCAAATTTTTTTAGGTGTGTTGGTGATTGGTTCTCTTCAACGTACTACAGTATATTTGAGGATTACTGTAGGCCTTAGGAGTAAGAGGTTGTGTAAACGTTAATGTCTCATTCAGACTATCAGGGTTATTCACTAAGGGGTGAAGAGTTTGAAGAAGGCAGGAGAAGTGAACAATCTAGGACAACATCACTGAACTGGAAAGTGAGCTGAATTGGAGAATTTTTCCAGTTCAGCTATGTTGTCCTAGATTGTTCACTTCTCCTACCTTCTCCAAACTCTTCACCCTTTTGTGAATAACCCTGATAGTGTTGCTTTAATGGATGTGTAACACGTTCTTAAGCGTTAAGGCAACCCATCCATTTTAAATTGACACCTTAACACATTACCGTGATGGTTCCCACTTTACCATGCATTGCAGTAACATGTTAGCAAACCTACACAGGAATTCTCCTTAAACTAAGAGGAAACCCCCTTTTCACAGGTGTCCTCATTGTGAGACTTTTCTCTCAATTTCCGGTTTTGCTGGAGGCCCACTTTAATGTGTGCTAAAACATTTAAGACTGAAATATTTCTATTCATGTAATGCAAACCTTTCCTAACCTTGATGGCATTAACTATTTGCTTAGTTCCTTTGTAATAAAAATCCATTTTAATAATGGGTGACTACAGATCTCAAGGATACATCTGACCTTTTCTGAAGCTGGATTAAAATATTTTAACTCAGGAGCCCGTTTTACCATTCATCTCAATGTGAACCCTGACAGGGGGAGGGGGAAGAACAATCTGCTATTGTACAGAGCAGACAGAGGTCACTTTTCTGAGGGCCTGTGTACATTGTCAGTATTTACACTGTTGAGACCAACAAGTCTCAATAATACATGTAAGCCAGCTAAAGTCCAGAAGGGAAGTTGTGGAATGACAAGAGTGAACAAACAGCAAGAAAAGCAGATAAAGTGAGGTCATAATTAGCACTGATAAGAAAACATGATAACACAGTCAGAGGTTTGTAACCAGTTTATTGGAGATATTTGTCTAGTTCTCTAATATTCCAATTTATACGCTCTGTAGCAGTAGAGGTCAACTTGGTAAAAATAAGGGCCCTCAATGGCAGCCCTTGACATGTCCTTAGGGCCACACAATAGTATCTGTACTTAAATCATAGACAGACTGTGGTAAAGCTCACGGTGAAATTTGCATTGTATTTAGGAGAGCTTTTGCGATCACTAAAATTCTGAATGACATTGTTCTTGCTTATGTAGTTAACGCTCACATGCTAAATGCAGATGTCACTTAGAGCATCAAAGTTGCTGAGACATGGGATTAATATGAGGGAGTCTTTTTTTTAATGATTTTCTTTTCTTTATAAGGGTTTGCTACATAACTGGTAAGAGCCTGAGATGACTAGGGTGGCCTCCATTTCTTCTCTTGTCACAACACCCCTGGCAATGGTGGACACAGGGTACAGGAATGGAAAAGGGGCACGCGTGCCTGATGAAGTAGATACACCTGGAGCTGGAGATACAGGTAGACCAGTCTGAATGATGACAAGGATGGTCAATTCCTGGGAAATGATGTCAGCGATGTGTGAAGCTGGAACTGGCGCAGAGCAGAAGATAGAAACAAGCGGGGTCACAATCAAGCAGGCAGCGAGATACAGAATCAGCAGACAGAGGCAGGATCAGGAGCAGGCCGGGTTGGTAAAGCGCAGGCAAAGCAGTGCAGAATCAGTATGCAGAAGGAAGGTCCAGAACAAGCCGAAGTCAGGGGCAGGCAGCAATCAGCAGAGTCCAAGAACAAGCCGGGTCAATATCAGGAAAAACAGGATCAGGAACACAGAGAGCAGGGTACAAGCTGAAGAACTGTCAGCAAAGGAAAGATACAGAGCTCTTCCTTAAATAGGCCGTCGGGCGCCAAAGTTTAAATGGGTGCAAGAGCATGCGCATACAGGGCAATTTGCGCGCAGGCTCACGAGTATGAACAATCTTTCCACCGGAACGGTGCACATGTGCATGCGCATGAAAATGTGCAGAGCAAAGACGGGCAAACTTTCTCTGACAGGGTTATTGGATCAGGTCAGGAGAGATCTGATTCACCCCCTGCCCAAGTCTGCAGCAACAGGTCACTGTTAATAATTTTGGCTGGATCAGCTCTTCCCTAGTCACCAGAAAAATGGGAAGTGTCATGATATAACCTGTGACATTATGTTTGTAAACAATGGTTGCAGCACTGAAGTCTCGTAGAACCACTAAGTCTGGCTGGTGTTTTATGACTTTCTCTACTGAGGCATGTTTTTGTTTAACATTATTTTTTCTTCAATCAAGACTTTATCTTCATACTGCTTGAGCAATTCAGATTGGCATATCCTCTGCAACAGCTTTGGAGGCTGTTACTGGACCTTGCTGGACTGGACAATTGTACGCCCTGCCTAGAAGGTGAACTTCGGGCACTGGGCTCTGCTTGTGGTGCTTTCTAGTATTATTGGTATAATTTTATATTATTATTACGTTCTAGTATTATATTATAGCATTATATTCTAGTTTTGGCTTGTTAGGGCCTCTACGAGAACACTCAGCCTCCTAAGAAAGGGGCCCCACCCTAGAGCCAGACTGTGTGTCTGGTGGACTGGGGAGCAGACCGCCTGTGTGGCAATCCGCTTGTTGGGCAAAACAGCAGCCTCTGTGGCAAATGAACAGCGTGTGTGGCAATCTACCTGTGTGGTGAGCAGCCTGTGTGGCCAGTTTGTTTGATACAGCCTGTGTGGGAAAGGTTTTGTTAAAAACACAACCTGAAGTCGGAGAGACATTGGAAATGTTATTTTGCCGTTAGCAAGAAAACTATACTTTGTGTTGGAGAAACCCTAGCGAGGGAAAAACGTATGTGGATGTTTAAATAAAAGTGAAAGTGGGCAAAGAAGCCATTAAAGTGAAAAGCGAGTAGCGGTGTCCCTAATGTGCTACCGTTTGGAGCGAATCCTCACAATATATATATATTATTATATTATAGTATTATATGGTGTATTGTGTTAGCCGCAGACAGCTTTCCAGGTCCAGTGCTGTGGAACAGCTTCTGGTGTGACCCAGTCTACCCTGATTAATTTCAGGGTAGGCAGTATGGGCTGAGCATCTGGAGCTACTATATTTATTGGAACTGTTGGGCATTATTATTATTCCCTTTTTTACATTAGTCTCAACAAAAAATAGAACATTGAGGATTTCAGCGCTGCATCAATAGGTAGAATGTTGTGTGCAAAACTCCTCAGCGTGAGTTAGCATTTTCCTGCCATTGCCTATTTGAAAGAGATGCACGGTTTCCCCTCAGTTAGTCCTTGCTGCTGCCTACAGTGATCTAGTCACCCCCGGCCTTTTGAACCTCTTTTCCATTCAGCAGTTAATTCAAGAGTATCCAAGGTCTTTTCTTGGTATACTCAATTAAGCTGTTTCCTTAATGGTGCAACATGTGGGATCACAAACATAATAGGAACAGTCCTGCTGTCTCTCCAGCTTTAGGCCTACTAACAGTTCTGGTATGGCCTGCAGTGTTCCCTCTCAAGGACCTGACACCGACAGCCTGGACAGTTTTTTCCCCTGGTTGGGTCCTTATATTCCTCCGCATCGTCCGTGGTTTCGTCAGGTGTGACCCCTCCCTCAGGTTTACCCAGGCATGCACAATTGGCAGGCAGACTTCCTCATGTGGCAGCACCTGGACGGGGGAAGTGGTCCCTACATCCAGAAGTGTTCCAGGTGGGGAGACCAAATGTGGATCCCCTGGCCTCCAGATTTAATAACAACTTGGAAAGGTTTATCTCTAGGTGCAGAGATTCTCTGGTGGAAGCAGTGGATGCTATGCCTTTGAAACTGCTATGCCTTTTCTGCTCCTCTGAAACTCCTTCCTTGTCTGCTCTGCAGCATCAACATGGAGTGCATTTCGGTGATACTCATAGCTCCAGACTGGCCCAGGTGGATGTGGTATTCTAATGTGATCAGACTCCTGGAAAACACTCTGTGGGCTTTTTCAGAACGACTGGATTATCTGTCCCAAGGACAAGGACCATGGATTTACCATCCTGTTTCACGGTCACTGGCTTTAAAGGCATGGCTGTTGAAGCCCCAGTCTTGAGGAACAGGGGCCTCTCGGACTCAGTGATCCCCATTATATCAAAAGCCAGGAAGTCCACTAAAGACCACAAAATCTACCATCTTACATGGAAGGCAGATTTCGTTTGGTATGAGCAATGAAACTTTCATCTTAGAAAATACTAAGTGGATCAAATTCTGACCTTTTTACAATTGGTCCTAGAATAACAATTGGTCCTAAGTGCTATTAAAGGTCAAATCTCAGTTCTTCAGCATCAGGCAACTGTTTACCAGATTTGCAAGGCTTCCACCTAGTTTTCTGGTTACAAGTTTTCAAAGGTTTTACCAGGTGGATGTTCAGGCTGATGCCAGCTTTGGGCAAAGGTTCCTACAGGCAGCTCCCCAGTTTCTTTAGAGTTGGGCTTGCTAGCGTTTTATTTGCGGTGTTGGTCACCCAGTTAAACTGCTTTTTGGACATTCCAAATGTCTCTGATTCCAGTGTCCCACAATGAATGAAAAAGAAAACAGGATTTTTGTATTCACACAGGTCCCACACCTGTGTTTATGTCCTGCCTTTGATACTGCTTTGTTACAAACAGAGGCATGCTGGGGGTGTGGAAGGTTATACCAGGCCACTGGTTTCCAGTGTGAAAATTTGCCTGTAGGTAGCAGCATTACCCAACTGTCACCGAATCCTGTGTCCCTCATTTGGTTCTCACTGCTACTTCTAGAAGTCTGCAGAAAGCAAGAGATGAAATTGCAGGTGTGCCCTGTTAGGATTACTGCAGTAAGTTTTATATATGAGACACACATATAGTGTAATGCTAGGGGTACAGTGTTTAAAGTAAGGCTTACTTACCAGTTAGGACTAGCAAGTGCACTTTCAGGGTAATTTCTATACTGAAGAAGCAGGTAAGTATCTGCAATGAGGTTTGCTAAAATTCTTTGAAACTTTATGTATAATTGGCCATGAGAGGTTTTTTTTAACGAAATTGAAGTTTTACTTCAAAGGAAGACTGTGCTTATTTTACAGATGATACAGGAAGCCAGCATAATATTCATCTTAACTGCAACTGTGCAAAACAGTAATATAATTGTCTGATGGAATCTCTATGCTATCACATTAATATGCATGATACTGTTTGGAATAGTCAGAATCCGTGTTTGAATCTGGATCCTTCTCTACACTGCCCTGTCTGTTGTAGGGCCACATCACAACAATATTTGAATTATACACTGTAAAGCACACTTGAGAGGAAGGTTACATTAACAACCATAAAGCCTTATTTAGTAAGGCAGTGCAAAGCATAATGATGATGTTCACTGTGCAGTGACTAATTGAAACTAAATAATTTCAGATATAATTTCTTAAATGACTTGGCTAAAGTAAACAATACAATCTGATTGGTTTCTGCAGATCATCCTTGCTTCTTCCACTGGTTTCTTGCAATTAGACTGACAGGAGTTTATTAATATCGCTTTATCTTCTCTAATTTTCAATAACCCATAACTAAGTAGAAATCAGCTTTCTTAAAATAGAAATCTATTTTCTATTAATCTTTGTTAATTCAGGGGCTCAGGGAAAGTGAGTTGAATGACACTGGCCATCCATCATTCAACCTAGAAGACTGAGAAAATCTAGTGGCGGAAAAGCAGTACTGCAGGGATCAGTCCTGGACTGAATATGAGTATTGCAGCAAAAGCTTTTTTATCTTTTATTTAGCTATACATTATATTTATATATATCTATATCTATAGATATATAGATATATATCTATAGATATAGATAGCTATATACACTGAGTGGCCAGATTATTATGACCACCTGACGTTTGTAGGCAAATTAGCTATAATTAGCTATAATTTCGCGCTGAAGTTGCTAGAGGGCCAGACCATTATAAATAGGGAAGCAGGTTGTTTACCACGACAGTAGAAGTGATTTTTTTCTGAAGATATGTGTAAACAACGCGATTTAACAGCCTTTGAACGTGGGATGATTGTTGGCGCTCGGAGCCATGGAGCGAGTATCAGCAAAACAGCAGAATTCATTACATGTTCAAGAGCAGCTGTTGTTAAAGTGTTTAAAGACTGGACTGTCAGCCGAAAAGCTGGGTCTGAACGTGCAAATTGTGTCCGTCAGAGACTAGTCAATGTTAGGTGCAGTGCAGTGTCAGATTCCTCGCATCACCTTTCAACATCTCGTGGAGTAACGAGGCGGCCCAACGAAGTCATCTCGTGGAGTCATCTCGTGGCCCAACGATGTACTGATGGGGTGGTCATAATAATCTGGCCACTCAGTATATATGTGTGTTTTTACTTTTGGCTGGAGTTCTTTTTTAATCATGATCTATACTGACTGATCATAGTTATTTTTTGTATGGTTACAATGGGTAACATTCACTTTATTGCTCTTCATGCCATGCTATCAAATAAACCCTATTGTTTTTAATAATACTTTTTGACTTTGCTACAAACCCATTTGGATCCCATAAAGCAGGTTGTACATCAAAGGGAACTGTGAGAGGGGTGGGCCCATCTGTGTTGCAGCTTATGATCAAGTACTTGTACTTACAAGGACTTGTTAACCCCTTCGTGACTGACGACGTACAGTGTACGTCGCCAGCATCGGGGCTGTTTAAACAGACTCCCGGCGACTTTTGCCGCCGGGACTCTGTTTAAACTTGTAGAGCCGACTGTCGGCTTTACAACAGAAGCGATAACATGGGTGCAAAAATTGAAAAAAGGGCCTCAGTCATGAAGGGGTTAATGTTCGTGTGTCTGACACCAAACACCTTTTTTTTTCTTTCTTGCCACTGTATAAGGACAAACCAAACCTTAGTTGGTATCTTCCATTCTATAATAATTAAGTGTAGTGTATTTGGGATTCTCAAAAATAAACTGCAGCCTTCAGGCAAGATGGAAAATATAAAATTGTGTATGTAACAGAAACCCAACAAATTTTTACAAATATCGAGCATTTAACACATAAGCAATCAACAATTTCACAGTTTGCTTTATTACTTTCAGACATTCACACTTTCTTCCAGCCAAGAGAATACTGACATAGTGAAACAGAGTTCTTAATTTAAAAAATGACTATAAAATGTTACATATTAAAAATAGCCTCTGGGGAATGTTTGTGTTAAAGTTGTTAACATGTAATTTAAAGGAATAACTCATTCTGTTCATAGGTACAGTACTGTGTAATTAGCAACTACAAAAATATTATACAACTCATTCTTATATATACAAAAAAAAAACACTTTTAGAAAGTTATCATCTGTAAAAATAACAGCATAGAAAAATATGGTACCATTTTATTATATGAATCTATACATCTATATGGGACAAGAAAATCATATAAATAGTATACAAAATAGTCTTAGATAGTTCCTTCCTACACTATAAGAATACATGCAGCATTCTAGTCTGCTATACTTACACTGATATATTTACACCTCTACGTCTACCTTGCAGACATAAAAGAGTGCACGGTATCTATCTCCATTGGCAGTACTGAAGTGCTTTATTGGACCTTTATGTATTAACATTACTGTATGAACATTGTAAATATTAGTGAAATCTTGTATGACTTCATCCTTAGGTACCAAGTGTTATGTACCTGTGACATTTAGAGCTGCTTCTAAACGTATACAAAATGGCTGATGTAATAACTAACATGTTGTACATTAAACTGCAATTATACGTTGTTGTTAGTCTCTAATAAATTATTAAAATAATTAAGGAAGGAGTGCTAGATCCCTGGATGGGAGTGTGAGTATTATGATGTGTGTTACACTAATATCTGTGACTCTAACCTTGAGATCTTCATCCTGAAATTTGTGTTGACATATATTGCCCTGCATTGTGACTGCCATGATGTGGGGTAAATCCCCATGGGGCACACAGCTAATTGTGATTGGCTGCAGAGCAGGGGCCATGAAAAAGGCTGTGACACTGCAACCTTTAGGACATGGATCTCTGGTTCAGGGGACAGGAAAGCAAGTGCAAAGTACATCAGTACACTTATTTAGAGCCAGGATTTCTGTGTTCCTTCATTAATCTGTGGTGCCTAGGCCAATAACATTTGCTTGCTTGATCCTTTTGAAATCTGAGATATTTAGGATTACGCTTCTAAATAAATTCTCATTCTCTGACTCCATTTCGAAATATTTAAACCCATTTCCCCCTTTTTGTGGAGGTATTAAAAAAACACCAAAAAAAACATATGCCGGCAATGTACACCGAGTTTACATGAAGGACCGAGTTTACATGAAGGAGGCATATGCAGTTGCTCTATATGAACACAAAAACTTACTTTTTTGTTAGCGGTCTTCATCTCCTAATGGCTCCTTTTGAAATGGCCGCCACTGTTCTCTGCAGACAGTCTGTGTAAATTACAGGCTGCTGTGCATAGTGGGAACTACAATGTAGAGAATGGAACACTACATTTCCCACAATGCTATGCTTCCCTCATGCACAAGCTTCTCTGTGGAAGCTCTTTCTCTCTAAACTCTTTCCCCCTGTTCATTAATATTCATAGTGCCTCCCATCCCTGAACAGTGTATTGTGACCTGGAGAGGCAGAGCTGGTGTGCAGTGATCTTGTTATAAAAATGACTCACAGGCACAGGGTCAGCTGCTTTACAGGCTGTACGAGACAATCCAGCCCCAGTGTCAGACTGAGCTTCCTGGGGAGGGAATTTTCAATTTGTAGGACTCAGGCCCGCTAACAATTCCATAAAAAAAATGAAAAAGCCAGCAATGTGAGTCATGAAAATGTGCACATGTATATATCATCACTGCACCTCTACATTACCACAATAAATGCTAATGACTTACAAAGATGGAAATGGGCTTTAAGGACCAGCTCTCTGTTTTTGCTGTGATAAGCTGATATTTTTTTCACTTTCAGCACCCCCTGCTGGCAAATTCTGTATTATATCACCTCCTATTAAATAAAGTACCATTATATCAGAAGAGATACACTTTAGTCAACTCTTGCTTACAAAGGGCATGGTGGATGGGGGGGCATTTCCATGTTACTAGACTGACAGATAACATGTAGATGTAATTCCCTTTAAGGCCTCATGCACACAGGATTAAACCACATGTACCTAGGAGCTTATTTATAAACCTGGAAGCACGTAATGCTTTGCCTTAGCTGAATGCACCCATAGATGTTCAGCATCACCTAGGTGCATTCAGTCTAGCTGCATTTACACAAACCAGTTAGCTTGGTTTTATGCGGTCAAATGCATGTAAAGGTGGCTAAACCCAAGTCCTTGTGCACGGGGTCTAAGATGTATAATGTAAGGTCTTGTTAGAAAGGTTTTCACTTTTACTGTATTTCTAATTTGAACTCCGTGCAGATATTTAATCTTGCATTCAATACAGTTATCATTCATTCAAAAAATTAATGTATATTTAAATGCAACTAATACATGTAATTGAAACTGGTTGACATCACCCTCATGTAATAGCTTGTACACCACAGCTGGAGAAGGCGGGTCAGTACACATAAGAAGGTGACTAAGCTGGATGCCTCACAGCTGTAGAGAAAAATGAGATGTCCTGTCAGGCAAAAAAAGCTCCTGTGTATGTGTTTACAATGCCCTTAGCTGTTTGCCTGGATTTTAGCTTTAGTTATGTATTTGTTATAATTATTTTTCAGTCCTTACTGGAGATAAAAGATATTATTAACATCAATGTATGATCTTCGTACACCTGTGGTCTTTGCTCATTTAGCTCCATGGTTCCAGAAGTTTAACAGCTGCTTTGAGAGATCTGTGCATCATATTTCCTGAAGCTGGACTTGTGGAAAAGTCCCCTAAAAGACAGAAAAGTCACACTAAATAAGAATTATTTGAACAATATAAAGTGGCAAAACACATCTTCATGCTAACATAATGTGCAATAAACAGAAAACTAAACCAAAATGCAAACATTGCAAATCCCCTACTGCCATGCATGTGCCGGATCTTATATAAAGGGAATATATATAAATCTATCTGTCCACTCCAGCTGGTGAAGTTTCTCGGTGTCCTCATGTCTAGCGCATGTCTATGGAATCTGCATTAGATGTGTTGATGCTAGCGGTCCTTAGATCGCCAGAACCCAAGAGAAAAGAGGTTGTGAGGACAGGTCTAGCAGCCCAGAGGAAGCCAGCGGGAGCGGGGATCAGGTAAGTAAATCTTTTTTACTCCAGCCCCTAGACATAAACAAGCAGTGGGGGTAGTTTTTGTGTTTGCCTAGAGATGAACTTTAAAGTAAAACTCCAGGAAATTTTTTTTGTTTTTAAATGTCTAATTGGTCCAGCTAAGTTACCTTAAATGCTGTATATACTGAGCCTAGATGGCTGCTGGGCATGCTAAAAAATCTTAGTTGTATTCATGCCCGATACTACCGTCAGCTTTGATTAAGGAATTCTGTGATTGGACAATGGGAGGTCATGTCGGTTATTCACCCCTCCTTTTCTATGTGTTCTCTGATTAGAATACAAGACATTTTATGAATGGATGAGGGTGGAAGAAGGGGCAGTGTAAACCACACAATCCTTCTTTGTACCAGCACTGAAATTCTGAGCTGCTGAGCCAGGAGATTAATATTGATAGTAGTAAATGGAAATCTCTCCAACAGAGCTCCGGACAGCAGTAAAACCTTACAGTGGTTGTATTCCTTCACCACTCTATGCAAAACTAAAAAGACATTTGGCTATAGATACACTTTAAAGGGGTGAACTCCTTTGTGCTGTAACACAATCCCACATAAGAAAAGTGTGAGGTCCTTAATTCTAGCGTATGATATCTTGAGAGACTAATATACCCTTTCCTGGTAATAATGCACATCATGAGCCATTAAGCCTGTTTGAAGCCATGATACCAGTTTTCACTTGCATTGCTGGTTCTGATCTAACCAGAATAGTTTTGCTACTGATGGGTAGCAAAACTATAATAATCACATTGTGTTTAAACATTAGTGAATAATTACATTTAATAATTATAATGTTTTACCTGTTTTCCATATTAGTGCTCTTATATCAGAGCGGGTGATATCAGACTGGAATGAAAATGTTGTGGTCAACAAATACATTCTCTGTTAATTAGACATCCCTCTCCATGACAAGAACAAAACACAGATCAAGCTTGCCTGCAATTCTCTGCATGCCTGGAATGCTTTCACCTAGCTCCAGCCATCTGTGAAGTGAAGGAAGACTCCAGCCCACTACTCTGAGAATCCTCATTCCGTTTACACTCTACAGAAATAAAAGCTCCTTTGTCACTAAGCCATTTGTCAGTCACAAACTGACTCAAAGCACGGACAAGTTTCCCACTGAATAAACAGACTGTGGCACACTGGCAATGACATTGGTAATTGACAAGTGTTACAGGACACACACGAAGCCTGATCAAGGCGTCAGGGAGTCATTTACACTCCCTATTTTTATCAAGAAGTAAACACTCCATCAGCAAGATATGTCAAATATGTTCAGTGCAGAATGAGAAATTCAGGCCTAATATGTCAGCCAGGAGCTAATTACATACCTTTGATAAAATTGGTATTTTCATTAGGAATTTGAAGCACCATAGAGCCTTCTTTAGAAAGACGGTATCAACATGTCTTACTTCTATTACATATCTCAAAGATACAGGGTATATTCCTCAGTTTAGGATAGCGAATAGAGCCATGAAAATACTTTCTTTATGCCCCACGACTAAAGCTGGGTACACATGGATTGCATTTCGGTTGAAGAAGCAGGAATCAGCTGAAATTTGATCATCAAAAGTTGATTGTTAGAGTGACTTTTGTTGAAGGGACATGTTGGAAAATTGTCAGGTGAACAGTGCTTGCAGTCAGCAGCCAATCAGCTCCAAGCACTATTTGGGTATTCTGAAAGCGGCGGGCTGCCTTACCCTACCTCTACTGCCAAGCAGCTTTGTCTGTGAGTATTTGAAGCTTAGCCTTATACCTAAGCTAAGTTGCATTTCACCTTTTTGTTCAAAATGTCTGGTATTAGGCATGTGGGAAGAAGCTTTACCGGGTGGCTCCAGGGCAATCTACACTAAAGTTCACAGTGCAGCCTGATACAGATGGTCTGGAAGTTTGCCCTCTGCTAGAGTTTATGCCTTTCTTGGAGTCTTCCTAAGCTCCGTCAGTGTGGCCACCTCCTCTGCATTACTCTGGAAGGATTTTATGCAAGGTTTCATGGGCCAAATAGCAAATTTACTTGTGATGTGGGATTTCTGCTGAGGGAACAGTCAGCTCAGGTTCTGGCAGACCTTAGAGAGGTTTGACCGAGTCCTTAAATTTCAGAAGTCAGTACTGATATTGACTCACTGCCTCGAATATCTAGGTCTAATCCTAGATACAACTCAATTCAGAGTTTTTTCCCTCAGGACAAACTTCTCAGTCCAGGAGTTGCCGGACATTTAATTTCTGCATGAGAGTTCTAGGACTGATGGTAATCTCTTTCAAGTCATATTTGCAAAGTTCCACTCCAAACTCCTAAAACAAAATATCCTGTCATTGCAGGGCAAGTCAGTTCAGTCCTTGGACAGAGCGATTCATTTGGCACCTAAGTCAAAGTTCTTCTTGGTTTCGTGGAACAGGAACCCTGCTCTGGAATCGGTGAGTTTCTTTCTTCTGATTTCATGGAAGATCCTTAAGATAGATGCCAATCTGCCAGGCTAAAAAGGAGTCCTGGACTCCCTATTGGCGCAGGGGACTTGGACATTGGAGAAATTCAACCTCCAGATAAACATTTTGGATAGGGCCGCTGCCAGGATTTTTGCCTACACAGTCGAAGGTGCATAGCTTAAGCTAGCGCCAGCATGATAAGTGCAGTCCCAGAGAGGGAGCGCTCTGATCCCGCAGGGAGCCCTCACACAACCTGGGCTCAATCAGACAGCGGAAGACAACATTACCAAGCACTAGACAGAGTTGGAAATACAGGCTAAGAGGGGAGAGGGGAGGAGCTAAGATTAGGGCTACTGGAGGAAGTAGTACTTGTGGAATGTAGCCAAGATCAGGGGCGCTGCAGTAGAAAGTGTGTAGAGCCGGGTGCAGAGAATCGGGGACAGGGAGCTGGGGCTGAACTTGGTAGAGAATGCAGAGCTGGTGCGAAGGTGCATATTTCAGCCCCCTCACTCCCGGTGCCCTCTGTCGGCTGCCTGTGCAGTCTTACACTAACGACGGCACTGATTTTGGAACGTCTAGCGTTATGGTTCTCCCTGCCACTCTGGATACCCTGGCTGAGGGCATCATCCGATCAGGATACAGTTGGAAAACACCACGGCAGTGGTGAACATTAATCATCAGGGAGGAGGAACTAGAAGTCTTCCTGTGGCAAACAAATCTGTCCTGGACAGAACTTTATGTCCCAGCCTTGTCAGTTGTTTACACCTCAGGCATGGACAATTGGCAGGCATACTTCCTCAGCCAGCAGTGCCTGGACCCAGGAAAGTGGCCCCTACACCTGGAGGTGTTCCGAGACCTGTGTCACAGGTCCAAATCTTTTGTGTCAAAGGTTTGTTTGCCACCCTGGATCACAGTTGCTGGCTTTACCAGCATTGATGTTGTAGCCGAGGTTCTGAGAGACTGAGCCATCGCAAAATTGGTGGTTGCCACAATGCTAAAAGCTAACAAATCTACTTACCACAATGTCTACCATTGCCTGGTGAGCAAGACATTTTCAACCCAGGAAACTCTCAATGGGATGAATCCTGGCCTTTTGGCAAATGGGCCTGGATCAACATTTGGCCCTTAGTGCCATAAAGGGTAAGTTATGTACAGGGTGTCTCCCATGTGGCTCCCCCATCTGCTGTTCCTCTTGGCACTTAAAAAACCACCGTCTGAACCAATCAGAGGTGTTTCTCTTTTCACTCTCACTCACAAGGTTGCATTTCTTGTTAATATCTGAACTGACAGCCTTATCCTGTAAAGAAATCTGGTCTTACACAAGCACAAAGTGCTGTTGAGATCCAGATCTTCCTTGCTAAGATAGTTTCAACCTTTCAACGCAAAACCAGGAAGCTTGCGTTCTTCCATCCCTGTGTCACTTCATCAGAAGTATATTTCCCTCCATGTAATTGTGTAGGGTGTAGTTTGTGTTGTGTGGGTACACAGCCACTGCTCCTTTTAGAAAGACTTTTATAAGGGAGAACCAGCTTCTTGGTACATCATTTGGAGGTGACCCACACAAACTCATGGTCTTAAGGATCAAGTTCCATCCTCTCTAGTCAAGGTGCATTCAACTAGATCTCAGGCAGTATCAGGCAATGATTACCCAGATTTGCAAAGCTGCCACCAGGTCTTCTGGTCACATGTTCTTTAAGTTCTATCAGGTGGATGTTCAGGCCTCATCTGATCCCAGCTTCAGGCATTAGGACATTCAGGTAACTCTTGGATCTGCAGGCAGTCCCTGGTTCTCTTGTTTTTGTGTGGGCCTGTAGTGTTTTGTTGCAATTGCCCACCCATTCAGATGGACTGTTTTTGGACATCCTGACTGTATCTAAATGCCCATGTATTTCTATGAACAAGAAAGAAAAATCCATTTCTTGTAGTTCATTAAGGGGCATAGGTCCCACTCCTCTGTGTTTATGAGCATGCACTTTGTACTGGTTTGCCACAAAATTGAGGCATACTTACTGTTTGCCAGTGTCCAATCTTTCTCTAGGTGGCAGTATAAGTTGACTGTATTCCTGTGTCCCTCAATGAACTCCAAAAAATTGATTTTACAGTAAAGTACAGAAATCCCATTTTCTTTTTTCCAAAGAAATGAATCACAATTGTAATACACACCTTGTGTCACTAGGTGTCTTTATCACTATTTTGTACAGCTCCGGAATCTTGCGTTCAATCATGGGCCGGAGATTCTCTTTTAGTTTGTGATAATTCTTCTTCAGTTCTTGCTGATATTCTTTCTGATCAAATGTAATAAGTCTTTTGTTTTTTTCTACTGCCTCTCCACACCTGAAAAAAAGAAATTCACTGTGACCACTGTGTGTATGAGGAAGTAACTGTAGAAGTCATGTAAAGCTGTGATAGTAATTTAATTTGCATACATGAGATTTAACCTGGTATACTTTGAATAGTTCTTTACTTTTAAATTCTCAGACAGGTATATATGCATACTGGTAAGTTGTGTCTTATCTTTTTTTTAATCATAAAATATGTTAGCATTATTTCAATAAGCTTTTGGAGTTATGGAAAGGTTTGCTTACACTTGTGGGTAGAGCTGGGCCAACGCAGACAGACATCATTAGGTGGTAAGTGAGAGGCAGCACAGAATGTGGACCCACCTCACCCACACAGGACACTGGAAAAACTGCTCTTACAGCCTAAAATGTGAGGCTCATTTTTTGATTTGACAGCCAAGCCCCACTCTATTAGGATCGCTGACAGCGGCCCTTTTACGAATGATGCCTTTATACAGCAGTTGAAGGCTTCATTCCTGCATACATCATAACATATTGTTAAAATGCATTTGTGTTAGTGTTTATCCTTAAATCAAAGAATTGCCATTTGCTCTACACCAACAAAATCATACGTTCCAACCAAACTACAATTGGCTGTTCCTTAAAAAAAGAAATATGACATGTAAATATTTAGTCCTTCCTGCCTCTTACACATTCCTATTGGCCACTGAAGCAACCTAACATTGTGATGGGCTGGTAGGACTGTGTGGGAGCAGGAGGTAGTGGCAAGACCCATCACTACCCTGAAGTATTGAAGCTTTGCCTGTCTGAATGGCCCAGGTTTCAAAGTAATAGCAGGGTTTATGAGGCTGCTGCAAGCAATTTATACCTGCAGCAGTTTTTTTTTTTACATGTCCTCTTTAACCACTATATCCCATTTTATTGAACTGAAGAAAATATTAACCTGTATATGTTGCCCCTTTTTGACATATTCGCGCAGCCATTGCTGAGCTGGAAGTTACCTGAAGTCTGCCAGTTACTGAGCCATCAACTGCCTGACGTCACACATTGTCTACCATCTACTAAATGTGCAATGTGTGTGGTAAGGCAGCAACTTCAGGTGACCTCTCACTCTATGAAAATGTTAAGTCGGGTATACATGGGTAGATTTTCGCATCAATATTGGTACGAAAAATCCCATTGGAATGTTTGATAATGCCATAGAGACTTGCCGATTGTTGTTCGAATTTTTGTTTGATTTTCATTTTAATTAAGATTTGATTTTGGAATGAATAGTTTCCTGAACAAAAAAACACATTCACTGTTAGAATTTTGTTCCTTCAAATTTTGTCAACACTAGGGTCAAAATCGATCATCGATTGGACCACGTCAACAATTATAAAATCAAATGAACGTTTCCAAATCAATTTCATTTGTTTGAAATTCTAACCGTGTATACCATACTTTTGACAGAGTATATAAAGCTAAATAAGGGGGAAATATTAATCTTTCATTAGTAAGCCTGTACAATTCTAATACTTAAAGAAATAATATTCTGAATTCTGCATAAGCCCACTCGTGACTGGTTCTATTTAAGCTTCCATCTGCTCAACGAAGTGATATCAACTTACACACATCTCACTATGATTATTACAATATTTTTTGAGGGAATTCTCCTATTCCCTTGTTCACTTATTTGTTAGGCACAACTTTTGTTCATGTTCCTAGAAAAATATTGTATCTAAAACTATAGACAGTATATATAATATCGTAATGCAAACACTTAGAATCTTAGGGTTTAGACTCACTGCACATTACAATCTATCTTTAGACTCTTTTAGCCTCACCTCATAATGAATTCTTTGAAGCACAACCTCAGCTTGTTGTGATGTCGATACAGCTTAGGATCAGCAGGAATGTCAGCCAGAAACACTTGAGCTACCTCTAGTGGTCCCTAAAATACATACAGGAGAATGATTAGATTAGACCGGAGTTAGTTTGTCAAAAGCCCCTTGTTTTATAAGAATGTTCATCAGAAAGTTTACCAAAAATGCTACAGACCAGAGAAATTCTGGAATATTTTAAAGCTACCAAACAATGTATTAACCAGTAAGAAATGTTGTGTGTTACCCTATGTACAAACTGTTCTGAAAATGATGATATTGGATACACACATTTTTACTGCAGATTTGCTGTTCACTATGCAGTAGCATTATATAGAAGACATACATACGAGATACGTCCTCTAAACACTAGCTGGGCAAACTGTGTACACTGGTATAGGATCCACAAGCAGGTCCCAATGCTTTGTCAAAAGGTACTGGGAGCTGAGCAAAAAGCTTAAGAGCTTGTAATTGTGTTTTCCATGATAAATAAATAGTTCATTTCTTGTTGACTTGAGAGCCCACAAGACAGTATTTTGGGAAACAAATGTAGAATCACAATTATTACAGCAACCATTCACTGAACTGTGATTCCAGAAAAAGTCTACAATGATAGACTTGAAGTGTGCCTACAGTTTACCCACTCTAGCTCTGCACAAAACAAAATGCTAGTGGACAATTGCCACAGTTTGCTGTACTCTTCTATTCGTTGGATTAAAGCTGTTATGGAGACCCTGGTAGGATGACCCATGATTACTAGTAGCAATAACATTTCATTTGTATTAAGATTATTAAAATATATTTCTATTGATACCTGATTTACTGTGGCTCCCACTGAACCCTGCAACACCATCTGAAGCATCTTTGCATCTGGTGGCTCCTGGCTGGTAGCAACAGCCAGTTCAAGAGTTTTCTTCTGCATATCTTCTATGGCAACTTCAATTGGAGTCAAGGTAAACTAGAAAACAAATGTATTTGTAAATATATTTTTATGTGGTTCAGGGAATTTTAGTGCAAAAAGTGCAAAAACCAAGTTTACAGTGCACTGTCTCCTGTTTCAACTCATCTATTTGTCAGTTTACATTTATACAGCAAATTAATCGAATAGCTGGATTTCCTTGGCTGTGCTTCAGATAATGTTTACTGTATCACCAAAAGCTGCTATTGAACATGTCAAGACAATGCTAGGCCTTGGATCACTGTGAACATTTTTCTTTTGGAGCAAAAAAATACATGTTCCTACTAATGGAAATAAAGCAGCTGTCAGTTGTGAACAATTAATACATCTGTTGCCATTAATATAGGTGGCTTTTGCTTACAAAATACTCAGCAATCCCATTTCAGGCATGGAACCATGTCTTTCAGTAAACATACATCCATTGTGAGCTGGCTGCCAGTGTAAATACAATGAAGCACATTGTGACATTGTCAAGACCTGCACTGTTTTGTTTTCCTGGATCAAAGAGAAGTATTGTTATATATTTGTAGCAGTAAATCTCATTAAAGCCTTACATGAAGTGGTGCCCATACACAGATAAGACAAGTAACAGGTCTTTTTAGGCCTAGCATATATGACCACAGCATGGTTGTTCCTAGAACAAACACTGCTGTCAATGATATTGGGAAATCATTTTATGCCTACTAAATATTCATGGTGCTCAGCTGAGGTCTTGGAATGCCCTGAAACCAACTTTCTTTATTTCTTTATCCAGTGTAGTCACTGTCAGCAGGATCAGGAGACAATCGTGTGATATTTGTTGATAGCCTTATGCTGCCCATAGACATTAGAGGATTGTTGGATTGTGCCTGCACCTCAGAGCAGGAAATGTAACACATTTTGCAGAGTTCTCTTTAAATTTGGCTCTAACAACTTCATATAATTAAGACACAGGAGGAGATAAGTGAAACTTGATAGGAAAAAGGAGCCCTGCGCTCTAAAGCCTGCATTCTTGCCTGTGATCAAACATGCCATGGCTAATTGGTACCTACTGTATGTTAATGAATTGGTGATATGTTGAACTTCTACATTTATGGAAATATGTGCAGAATGTTCATAATGATCTTAAACTCTCTGATAAAAGAGCTGAGTATGACACTGGAAGCCACACAGACCCACACTTGCCAGTCAATGTCTGACAATGACATATAGAATCCTGATTGTATAGAAAAGGAGAGCCATGCAATACCCACAACTATCAATGTTCATTCTTCCCTGGTGACTGTTCAACCACCTTAAAAATAGATGATTTCCCTTTTTTGTTTATCTTACCTCCTCTTTTTGGATGACATTAATGCGGGTCTTTATATATGGAAACGCATGCATTGTTGTCAAGATAGTTTTCCTCTTATACTGCTCATTTAGTTCTCCACGCGGGCGTCCATCTAGAGTGAATGGTGTGGTGTACATGAATCTGCGCAGGTTATAGTTCTTCTCAAAATAGGTCATCCTGTATTTCATCTCATACTCCTCAAAGTATGGTTCCACAAATGTAATCTGGATGTAGGCCTGAAGAAACGTAAGACAGGATATTAGCTTACTAGTGAACACTGTAAACAAAGAAACTATTAATAAACTTTTGCAAATATATGTGTACCTTGTTTGGATCCAGCTTTGATTTGTCCACTGGGGTTGAATCTTTAATCACTTCTACTGCATCTTCCCCAAAACAATTCCCATAAAACGCCTGCAGTGGAAACCGAGATGTACATTAGTACTATCCACCCTTGGACTCTTATGCCAATGGTTTTACTATGGCAACACTTTTATTTTTTTTAGACTGTGTGTTAATACCAAATTAGTTTATTTACAATTTTGCATTGTGCATCACTCTTTTTCTGTGTATGTCCAGTTTAAAATAGGCATAAATAGGGATATACCGATATTAGTATCAGTGCTGATACCGCGTATTTGGGCGAGTACAAGTAAAATACTCCTGATGCTTATACTGATACTGGAACTTCTAGCATCAGGATGCTGGGAGGCGAGTCATTACCTGCCCCATATCTTCCTGATTGGCCAAAAAGCCGGCTCTATTCTCCCTCGTCACTCGGTAAGGAGAAAGCATGGAGCTGGCTTCCCGGCCAATCAGGAAGCTGGGCAGCATGTAATCACTCACCGCCCAGCTTCCTGATTGGTCAGGAAGCTGGGCGTCGAGTCATAACCCGCCCGCCAGCTTCCTGATTGGCCAGAAGGCTGGTTCCATGCTTCCTCGTCACCTGGTGACAAGGGAGCGAGGAGCCGGCTTCCTGGCTAATCAGGAAGCCAAGCAACAAGTCATTACACGCCGCCCGACTTCGTTAATTAGACTTCTGGTAACGCCGAGTACGGGAAAAAAATATCGGTACCGGAAAACCGGTATCGGTGTATCCCTAAGCAAAAAACATTAACTGGCAGTCAGGTGTGCAAACACAACTGACTGCCAAACAATCTTTAAAAGTAGCCCTTTAACATGCATAGTAATTATTATGGAGAAACAGAGCAGCCAAATAACCTTGTCATAAGCCTTTACTCAGAGAATACAGTAGCAAGCCAAAACGTCAGCAGTTCCCTTGAGAATAAATAGAAGAAACTCGAAAAACATCAGGATCAGGAAGGACACTGTAAGTGTTTTTCTTTATAAAGTAAATGGTGATTCTGTCAAGTCTATGGATACTGTAATACTTTTTTTTTTTTTACAAAGTAAATGAACTTGCCATTGAACTTTACTCACCTCTAATCTATGGGAAATCTCAGGAAGCTTAGTGATTGTTGGTTCTTTATAAATAAATTCTTGTTCATCTAGATCTCCAAATCTTGCCCCATAAAATCCAACACGGAAGTAAGTTCCAAACATCCTTTTCTGACCCTATTAACAATGAATTATATATTTATTTGTTTTGACCAAGTAAACTTTTCATGCAAAATATTAAAACTGACGTTATTAATCCTTATTAAATATGCAAGTTTTAGTAGTTCTTTTAAAAAGCAGTTCTCCCTGTCCACACCACACATCATTTCAATGTGTTAATTACTGAAATCATTTGGCCAGTCCAGATCATTCCTGGAATGTGGCATGGACCTGGACTGCTAATCATGTCATACATTTTATTAATCAGGGGCAGAAGAGTCTATTATGCAGCAATGACTGCAGGCAACAGAGTAGGTGCACTATATGATACTTATCCACCAGGGAAGGCGGCAGTGCATAAGGAACAATCTTCCAGCTGTGTTATCATGCCAACATGTCTCCTGACATCACAGAAGTTCACTGATTGGTTTTTAATAAATGCCAGCCCAAAAGAACAAATTAAATTGATCTATTGAAAAATCTATGAATTATGCACAGGGGCGTCGCGAGGCTGGGTGACACCTGAAGCGGTAACCGAGTGTCACCCCGCCGAGACGTCACCGCACCAAAATGACTGTAAGTAATTTTGGTGTCACCCCTCCAATGGTGCTACCCGGGTGCGGGACGCACCCCCTGCACTCTCCTTGTGACGCCACTGATTATGCATAATTACTGTATAATCATACAATATTTTCGGTGCTTCATCCACACATGATATTATCCCTAAATCAGTATTCATGACAACTTCCCTGCTGGAAACTCAATAGGAATAAATAAGGGGTCCAAAGGGGTGAATGATTTCTTGGGTGTGTCTAAACCCAAGTAAAACAAAAGTGGCGCTGGCTGGACAGATGAGACTGATGAGGTTTGTTTGGGAAGGTAGAAGATGATTAAATCTGAACTGCTGTTTTTCCAAAGTAGTTATAATATCAACAAAAGGAATATTCCCAAACAGTAGTTGAACCCAGATCAGTCAAGATGCCAGAATCTTACTTATGGTGGTCTTAATCTGTCCAGTAAACTCAGGAAATGCAACAAATGTCATTTACTTTTCAATCTACCTGTGCCACAACAAATTTCACTTAACCAATCACCCATTTAATGGAAGCCAACCTGTCACACAGCATCCTTTGTGTAAAGCCCATTTAACAATGACCACTAAATTAGTCATAATATTTTTTTCCCCTGCTGTTAAAGACTTGCTTACAATGTACTAGTCACTCTCAGGTACCTTGTGTATTATGCGATCAAAGGCCTTCTGCAGTTTCTCATGAGTCGATGCAAGCTTACGGAAGTCTCGGTGAGCTTCAAGAACAGGGATGACAATCTTATAGACTTCATTCACCGTTTCATAAAATCCTGCCTGTAACAGACAAGTAAAAGCACTAAGTTACAATATACAGTATGTGTCACAAACATCATAGTTTCTCAGCTGTCTACATATTTAGAAGTTCCACTGATGTTCTCCTGTGACTTTGGTGCCACAGCTACTATTTCTCTAGTGTTTTCTACAGGTAGAGAAAGCAATACTGAGTTTTACAATCTCTTTAGCTAACTTCTGATATTCTTTCAAGCACTTCAGGATATCAAAAATGTACATTTTACAGTACACTCAAAAGTGTATATTTTTAAATTCCAAACTTTCTAGCATATGGAGACATCTGGAAATTCAGGGCTACATTTATGTACAGGTTCTCCCTTTGTCACCTGGCTCTTTTGCAGTTAAATTACCTTATCTGTAACCATGTAGTGATATATGTCAAAATGTAGCCATGCCAAACTCTACAGTCATAGGGAAAAATTAGGTTTCCCTCCTTCTAATACTTTCTTTGTTCTGACCAGAAATGATCCTGCAAGATTCAGGGCACTGTGAAGTAACACTGTCAGCTTCCTTCTGCAGTTGCTGCCTATATAAGTACTGCAGTCAGAGCTGAGGAGTGGGTGAGTTGGACCTCCTCAGACGGTAAAAAATGTAATTCCTTTATATAAGATTAAAACCTACTTGATTAAAGAGTTCTGCAGCCTGTTCTAAGAGCCCAACCAGTCCGGTTTCTGAGAAGTATCTTCCAGAGCACACTCCGTCTTCATCTGGGGTCAGAATGTCATCAGACACTGCTGATTCTTCTATCACATTAGAAGAAATGTTCTGCAAAGATCAAATGTTTCATTTGCAAAATAAATACTGGATGTATATATTTTTTCCTGCATTTACAGTACATTAAAGTGAAAGTACACACGAACTTTGAAAATATTTTAATGTAAAAATACTGTATGAGAGCTAATACATAAATGAGGCATGCCATGCAGAGATCAGTAGAAAAAGTACAATTTTTTAAATTCTGTGCTTAGATTCCGCATTCAAAAGCAAACAACTGTAAGGCCAGAAAGAAGTTAAAGCCACAAATGAGTAGGAAATAGAACAACCTTTTAGTTAGTTAACTTCACTGGTTCTGTCTTTCCTACTGTCACAATTTAGAAAGGTATATAGTGCCCTTATAGCATATAACAAAGGGGCAGGCAGCTGCATTTTTTACTAGTCTGTTAGAGCTGCTGTTAAATGACAGCGGCTCTCACTACGCAGGCTCACTTACACGCAGTGGGTAAGTACATTCTCCGTCTGTAGCTTTGTGTGATGTAAGACTGAGCCGTATAGTGAAAGCCATTTTTTCTGACTAAGTGTCAGCAACCTGCTTGACCCTTTATTTTAAGTAAGCAGATATCTGTGCCCTTGCTTGATGTGGTCAGTTTGAAATGGGAGCAAAAGAGAACTGGCAGGATCGCCAAGTATTTAACAGCAAAAATACAATAAATAATTACAGACTACATTTATTAAGACCTATATGAATATCTCAACATATATGAGGAATCTTAATTCTTGGGGTAACAAATACTTTAAACAAAATAAAGCACAGGGGAAACATGAAAAGGGGAAGGGTGGCATTCGGTGCTAAAGAAACTACAGTAATTTATTGCTGCTCAGTCTGCTGCATCCTCCATAAAAATGGGCCAGATTTTGTTATTTTAAAATGGGAAAATGGTTGCTGTTACCAGGCCTCAAAACAAATACTGAGTATAAAATAATTGCTGGGGATAAGACAAAATTGAAATGTATGCAATGTAAACCCTCTGGCTACTTTGAACTACTATCCCTGAAGAAGTATAGAGATAAGGACTTCTGACTTTCCTGATCTTCATGCTTGTTTCAAGTTAACGACTAAGAAAGTATTGATGCCAGAGACCAATATAGTCATAGCTTATTCAGGGGGATGTCAGCAATGGCAGCCTCCACGTATCTTCTAGAAAAAAATTACTTTAGTTGTGCTACAGACACAATCTGTACAAATCACATTCAATACATCAGCAAATATATTTGGTTTATTATTTGTTGGTTGTACTATGTTCAAAAAAATACCTACTGACTGAGAAAGGACAAAAGCCAATGCATCACAATGGCAATACAGTCAATCAGGGCTGGGTAAGACTTGACCCCAGGATACCATAATTGTTAGCAGTTTTCAAGGCAAACCAATAATCCAATGAGCTATCATACGCAAACTACAGAATATACCTACACTGTAATCTTACCTGAAAGCTAACACTGCCAACCGGAAGGTAGCTACAATCCTCCAGTATGCTCAAATATTCTGCTACGAGTGCCGCAGCATGGACAAGACACATGGCTGCTTCCGTGTAACATTTCCGTTTTACGTGCTTCTCTGCCATGTTCTGCAGCCAGGTGAGCCTCAGATCTGGTGATGTCTGGTAACCTTTAGCAATTCTAATTAAAACATAAACACATTCTTGACTATAGATATTCAGCAATCTCATTTTAATTGAATAGAGTTATGTTAACTATTGCCTACTACAAGGGGGGCCTACATCACTGTTCACCATTGAGTTTCGTAATTCTTCACCTATGTGTTGTCTAAAGCCAAAACCTTTTTTGTTTTGGATAGAGTACAGAATAGTTGGAGCCCCTGCCAGTTTTTTGCCTATATCTGTTTGGGAGACAATGCAGAAAATGAGAGTGAATATTTAAAAATTCAGAGGAGATTGGCTCTTAGGAAATTGTCACCGGTACATGTGTCCCCCATTGGAAGCTTTACCATCTATTCCTGTTCTGGAGACAACTGTCCATTCTGGATTTATCGTCTCACTTTAATGCTTGTGATAATGTCGTCAGGACAAGTAGAGAGAAAGTAAATCTCACAAGCGGGTGCTCAGACAGCAATAAACATTTAACAGGTTTTCGATCCCTTCCTCACAAAAAAAGTCTGTCTTTAGATACACTTTAAGTAGGCTATTATCTGTGTTTTTTTAGACTCTGGTAGTGAATTTTACCTGCTGAATTGTGTGTGGTTGACTTGCCAATCTGTACCTTACTCAGTAGGATATAACAAGAACATGAAAAAATAAGCTAAATCCTGTATTGCAGGAAATACATCTAGTACTAATTTTGCTTTCTGCCCAAGCTTGGAGTTCCTATAATATAAGTATGGTTCGCGCATTATTAATTTATATCCTAAAAGAAGACTTTGACCATTATTATTGCCATTTTATGTAGGTTGAACTCTGGACATGACTTAAATATGCTAAGTGAAACCTGTGTTGCAACAGCTACTGATAGAAACATAATTCACATGTACAGGGTGGAGTAACTGATGAAGAACAGCTTTTGTCTTGCAGCTAACTATAGATATGTACACAGCTTTTCAGGGTGGAGTAACTGATGAAGAGGAGCTTTTATCTTGCAGTGACCTATAGCTATGTCCACAGATGTAAATCTGTTTATTCCTAAGTCGCATGCATTTAAAAAAATGAGCTGGATGTGTTTTGTAACACGTACCTGTACATCAAGTCCATTAACATCTCTGGATCTTTTTGGAATGCTCTCATTTTCACTGTGTCTGAAAGAATACTGTTCAGGTTGTTCAAGAGCTCATTTACCTATAAAGAGGAATGACTTGATAATACCTGGTAGCAATAATAGAGAGATGGTACATTGATAGAAAGTAAAGCATCACGTGGGTGAAAAACATTTGTACTTTTAGAGGTTTTAGAGTGTAGGCTTGATTCTTACTGGTCTTGTCCAGCACCAGACAAAAATCATAATCTATTTCACTGAATTAATAAGGTTTACTGTGTATACAGAGTTAAAGGTCTGGATCTCTCTTTTTTTGTTGCTAGCATGTGGACTAGAAAGGGTTTAGTAAAAACATCACTGCTGATCACAGACTATATTAACATTTGACATGCCTAGAGTAAGTCTGAACTTGTGTGTTGTTGCAACTTTACGAAGGACAGGTCTTAATACCAAGTAAACTTACTCTCAGCCTTTCAATTTATCTACTAACATTTAGGTTAGAGTGAGACTACACTTTATGGAGGTGATTTGGCAGGGTGGTGTGAATTAACATGTTTTGCATATCAATGCCTCTTTTTTAAATGTAAATATGAGAAACATAATATAGAATATGGTTGTGTATAATTTGATGGTTAGCTTTGTGAGTCACATCACCTGTGTGCACCTTTTCCATGCAAAAACTAAGCAGCTGCCACGTTCAGGTTCTTAATAATGACAACATATTGCTAGGGCCTCCTTCCATATGTAAGTGTCGTGAGAAGGCCTTCCTCCATATGTAAGTACGTAGAGGAATTGGTCTACATCTGACAGTTACACAACTATATTTACACCGCACCACACAGTTCCTATGACATTTAACAATGGCTTTACTTTCCAGTTGCAATTCTGTAGAATATGTTGACATAGCTAAACCTGAAAAACAAGCTGTGTTTTATAAAGCCTCTTTTGCTAATGTTATAAAAGTATAGTGTTGTGTACATTTAGGGAAATGTCACTGGGATTTTTCCATACCACATAGATTATGAATCATTACTGTAATTAACACAAACATTACTACATTACTGTAATTAACACATGTCCACTGAGCTGATCAAGTGTAATTCTCTTTTTTAGATTGAGGGATAGTGGAAAAGTACCCACTTACATTGGTGGTCATTAGAGAAATGCCCCCTTACATAGATGGTCAGTAAAAAAGTGCCCTATTACATTGGTGGTCAGTGAAGAGATACCTCCTTACTTTGGTGGTCAGTGAACAAGTGCCCCATTGCATTTGTGGTAAATAGAGAAGTGCCCTCTTACATTAATGATGAATGTGATGCCCCTTTATATTGGTGGTCAGATAAATGTAACATTACATTGATGGTCAGACGAGAAATGCCTGCCTATTATTATATTGACAATCAGTGTAACGATGGACCCTTACATTGATAGTCAGTGTGGTGTCCTCTTACATTGATGGCCAGTATAGTGCCACCTTACGTTGCATTTTATCTTATGTATCACACATATACATATAATCAATATAGTATGCGCATATAAATGCAGTATGTACATTACCTGTGCAGGAAATAAAGTGGTTTGCATATCTTCATCTTCCTCGGCATATGCCAGAATGCTCCTCAGTGACTTGCGAAGATACTCTTCATTAAAATCCTGTGACTTCCCAACCAGTGAGGCTAATGACATGGTAACTTGCATTTTCACTCGGGCAAAGTTCTAGACGAATTAAACATATCCACATTTTCAAGATATTAATATATGTATTTTATTGTTATCCAAGTCAAGACAGGTACAGTGGTATCTCAGTTCATGAACGCTTCTGTTTGCGAACAATTATGTTCGTGAACAGGAAGTTTGGCAAAATTTTGCTTCCGTTTGCGGACTCCGCATAGAGTGACGAACACCACCACAGCCATCTTCCCTGCTCTGACACATGGTCGTGGCTTCCTTTAGTCAAATCGCAGTCTGATCACAGTTTGATTCGGTTCACGACCAGAATCGTGGAACAAATTAAGTTTGTGAACCGAGGTACCACTGTATATAAGATGGGTTGCTTTACAGATCCAGTCCAACCAAACCTTTTCATTTAACTTAGGAATGTAATGGTTACTTTCAACATAGAGCAGGCACAATGAGATGCCAGCACTCATGAAAACTGTTTTACAACTGCCCTTAGAAGTGTAGCACTGATGGGAGCCCCTTATCCTGCAAAACCTTCTTAAGGTAGAGTTCACATGTGCAGCTGGCAGTAAAAACAGGCATTTAATCTGCGTTTTTACCACTCCCTGGCCTCCCACTGACAAATTATCATTGCAGCAGGACAGTGCTGTACACATTGCCATGACCACGATGCTTTGCAGTGCAGCAAAAATGATACCACACGTCATGCTTGCCGCCTGCCAAACACAGCCATTGATTTGAATGAGAATGAGATTGTGCTGCAATACCATGCAAAAGGCTTGGCATGCAGTTGCAGCATGGTCCATGTAAAATCCCCCTTGGTATCAAATAAAAAAGGGCATTCAGGAGGCAGCAGTCTCGGCTCCTGAATGCCTAGAGGCTGCTGGTTTACCAGTATAGTCCGCCACTTGTGTGAATGAGCCCTTATGGGTCCCGGAAAACAACCATACCCTCATACCACACCCAGTAATGTAATGCTTTGTGTTTTTCTTCCCCAGTATCAGATTCCCCAGATTGTGGGCATTTACATGCTGGATTCAGTAGTAATTTTGAGGGAAGTTATAAAGTGATTTTAATGAGTACCTGTATCCTATAGTGCCCACATGTGTGTCATTTGTATACAATTTATTTCTATCACAGACTTACTTAAAGATTTGGCACTCTGAAGCAATTATGAGAGTTCCACTTTTCCTGTTGGGTTTTAAATATATTTTATACAATGTAGAATGCAGCAAAAACATGGGACCACCCCAATTATTAGCAGAGGGGAAGGAACAGAGCCTGAAACTAAGGCAGGGGAGATAATGATGGGAACGACTCCAGGGATATAGGAAACCAAATAGTGGCTCGGCTTACCAGACTTCACTTGCACTTGAAATACTACTTTGAATTGATTGACTGCTTATATTAGGATATGATGTTTACTATTGGTTAAAGGTAGTAATGTTGTGCAAAGTAATGTTGAAAGTAATGGTAAAAAATTGTTGGGTACATGTAAACAAACAGATAATAGCATTAACGTGCAACTGAAACCAAAATGTTTGTTTAACTTTGGATAGAGTGGAAAGGGAATAGAACACCTGTCAGGTTTTCATTACTGTATGTGTCCCCATTAGGGAGATTCACCCTATCTCCTTGTCCTGTTGAGTGTTATTACTAAAAGTGAAAGAAGACCCTAAATGTTGTCATCTGAACAGGAATAGATGGGAAATCTTTCAATGTGGATACTAGTTATGATGACCTTGCTGAGCGCCAGAGATTTCCCTCACTTTGGAGGGATTTGCTCTCACTTCCTGTTGTGGCTATTGGACAGGAAGTAAAGAGAAATCTCTTTGCACAGAGGACAAAGATGGCAAACAGAAAGCTGACAGGTGTTATAACCCTCCCTTACTCCTTCCACAACAGAAAAAAAACTTTTGGCTTCAATTCTACATTTAGCAAAATCCTACATTTATATACTTCTTCAATATATCTGTAAGATTGCATGAACCTACACTGGTACTACTGAAGCTGTATCTCATGATCAGGTAAAGGGTGGAACACGCTTGGCTCCTTGTGCTTTCCAAAGCACTGCTGCAATGATGTAAGACCTTTTGGCAGAGATCAGCACATTGCTCCACTTCTTCTTCAAACAGGAAGTCCCCAGCCTATAAGGGGGAATTAGAAGGTTAGAAAAGCACAGTAATTATGTTCATGTTTTCTTTAATTAGCACTGAGTAAACATTAAACTGTAGAACAACTGGATAAAGTGAAAATTCATTTCACTTGTGCTACTATTTTTCCTAATTTCCATTCTACATAGACATAATGTTTGTGCCTTCTACTAGCAAATTCTTTCAAAATGTTCCCCATGTTATATACAGTATGGTCTAAGCACTGCTTGCTTCTGCATTTTACTTTTCCCTTCAATATTACATTTTGAATCTGCACAAAATGCCTCATCCTCAATGATGTCAATAGTTCCAAAAATATCCTCATATCTACGGTAGGTAAGTTCTGATTCTGTTACATGAATATACTCCATGATCACTCTTCCTAAATCAGTTATAAAGCTATGGATAGGCAGCAACTTGAACTTGTAACTGCACCCATGTCTAGCATGTATTCAGTGATGGATAAAACCGTCATTTGCATTCTGGTTCCTTTGCACTGCAGCATCAGCTTTCTGACTAAATTGTTACTTTACCTTGACGATAAGCAGCCGGATGGATGAAAAGCAGTGGGCCAGGTAGGTGTTGCTCTGATTAGTGCTCAGAGAGTGCACAAGTACTTTAAGGGCTCCTCCAAGTTGATTATCCTTGCAGTCTGCAGATAAGCTGACCTAAAATGATTAACAGGAACTTAAAGAAAGATATGGAAAAAATGACATAGAATGCATACTATTTCAACATAATATTTACAGGGTTTCAGCCTTTCCAGTAAACCACATTTACAATGGTAGCGACTCCCAATGTGGAATGTTAGTCATTGGGTTGTTCTGATTTGCTCATCTTCACAGCTGTCAGCATGCTCTGCATTGGCTGAAAAAAACACTACAAATCTCATCTCTGAAAACCAGATGATTGTCTGTGATTTGAGAGCACTATTGCCACTGAGGAAAAGTCCTTCATTGAAATTATTTCCACTTTTTCTCAAAGTAAAACATTCCTTTCACTACATGTAACTCGTTAAAGTGACACTAAACTCAGGAGTTAAATCTTAAAAATGCATTCAAGCACCGTAACTATTAACACAAATGTATGTTATTTGTGTATCACTTAGCTGTAGATCCTCAAATCATCTCTGTATTCATGCTGACACTGTCCTTCCTTCTGGAGGATGGCTATATTTGTTCTCCATGGTCCCTGTGTGTGTTGTATAGTAGCCACTGCTCCAAGCTCACTCCTGTGATGGACTACAATCCCAATACAATTAGTAAACTAAACATGAGAATGTAGTCTATCACAGGAGTGAGCTTGGAGCGGTGGCTACTTTACAACCCACACAGGGACCATGGGGAACAAAAGTAGCCACCCTCCAGAAGGAAGGACAGTGTCAACACCAATTCAGAGATGATTTGAGGATCTACAGCCAAGTGACACACCAATAAGATACATTTTTGTTAATAGTTAAGGTACTTGAATTTATTTTTAAAATTTAACTCCTGAGTTTAGTGTCACTTTAACTTTTGACATAACACTTCAAATTTGGCTCACTATTATAAAAATAGAGACTTGCACAAATATAATTTTTCAATAAGTTGCTCTAAAGGTGTGAGCATACACTAAAAAAAAGTTTGAAATCTAGTCCCCTGAAGTTTACTAAGTACATCTAAGATCCTCGATTTCAATTTTCTTTAAAAAAAAAACATATGCAGAAAACAATTAAGAAAAGATTTTAGTGGTCTAGCATACACAAGTCCTTAATGCTGATTAAATCTCACCTGTAATATGGTTTCTACCACATCCAGAATAATCAAGTTGGCTTCAGTAGCCAAGTTTCCACACATAATGGCCTCCTGGTCTATTTCAGCCTTTGCCCTGTCATAGAAATATATTTTATTCAAGAGTGGTCTCTCTCTAACATCAAAACAACAGGCACACAATGCTACACTTGTTTGTTAATGTAAATGTAGCTATGCTGTTCTATTCATTACAGCAATATTCAGCCATAAGCATTTGTTTATTACTTCGCTGTCAGTAGCTTTTACATTTATTTAAATAGCATGTTTACTTGTCCAGTCATTTGCTTCCATAAAGGGTGTAATATACGTGAACCTAGTACACCATGAATAACCTCTCTAATCATACATTTTCATTAGTCTCATCCACAGTAATTTATGCTTACGCCAATGTGTTATTATACTCAGTGTTTTGCATACTATACTATATCATATGAACCTACTATAATATATTATTGTTCTCATTGATACGGTACCACAAAGTAAAGGTGCTTACATATTTAGTCTCTCGTTAGCTTGGCGCCAGTGTGTCTGCTCTTTCCTCCACCGCAGGTTCTCATTAAGGCCAGCAAATTTGTCATTCCCCGCTACAGAAAAAGACAATGTCACCTATAATTTCTGAGTGCAAATGACAACCTGTGCATAAAAAGTTCCTGCATTTTCATGCATGATTTATTAGAACATATCCTGTAAGAATGATGTATTATGTCAGACAAATGACCAACTTTTCATTACTGACTAAAGATACGAACCTGAAAATTAACAGTTATGTATAAATCAAATAGTACTTGTACTCAGCAAAACCTGTTCAGTGAAAAGAATGCATACAAAGAGAGCCACTAAACTGACCTTTCATCTATCCAGTGTGGAAACACCCATTTGATGTGCTAAACTAACATTTAGCATTTGTATACTCCATCTCCAGTTATTTCTGTAGTTCCTTATGAAATGTACTGAGCAATGATTTAGTTCAGTCAAGCACACAGCATATGAGAAGGAATAAAAGGTGACTTGAAAAGGGTCTTTTGTTGGTGCACTTATATCATCAACAGGCAGTTACAGTATATATTGGCCTTGCCGGTGACATGCACATTTGTGGAATAAACCTGTTTGCAGTGGTCTGAGGATGTACTTCAACTGCTTTACAATATAAAGGTGCTAGATGTCCTTTAGATGATGTACTCGTTTACAAACGTCCACACACTTGTACGTAAACTCTTGGCCATAACAACTAAATTATATTGCAGTTTCAAGGGCTTATCAGAAAAGTAAAAGTTATAGCCACTGCACATACAGATATCTTACTGTGTATGAATAAGGTTTCTGCTATCAGATAGTGGAAGCACCAAATGATTACATCTCGACAATGTAATGGCTGTTACGGAGGAAACGCATCAATGGAAGATCGCTCGTCACCTAAAACCTTCCCCCAGTCGCCGGTATACTGGACTACACGATAACTCCACTGTTTGTCTGATGGATGGACTCTTTCATAGCTGGCTTTCTCTGCTCTGTACATTGGCCGTACCTCTCGGTGCCCAGCTGTGGCTCTAGCCATTTGATGGAGGGTATGAGCATGGATCAGTAATTTTCCCAGTGGAAGCTTACATGACGATTGCTATGGGGATTACTGCAGCTTGATATCTGATTGGACACTGAGAGACGGCTATAGTAGGATAGTTTTAGATTGCCCAATATATAGGTTGATTCCCTTGCTACTTACCATCTACACGCGTGTGTGGTATTATCCTCAGTGGTATTATATAGGGTAGTAATATTTTCAGTGAGACCCGTACTTATGTTTAGCGGAAAAGTGATTGTGAATATTATTTCATTCTTATGGATTTGACTGGATACTATGAGCAATCTTAATACAAAATTATTTCCACAAACTACATGTAAGGATCAGGCTTACTATAATCCCATGATAACTACCAGTGGGGTATTAAATAACACTGCCCCCTCATTATTTCACACCTCCATGTAAGACATACCAACTCTCAGCTATGCATACCTCAAAGTTCTATCGATCATGGTAAAGCAGTTTTAGAGAACAGTTTATTGTCTTTCATGTCAGTTTGGTACTGGAAGCGTTTTTGATTGATTTCTGTCCACCTCTTCATAACCTGACTAATTCTTAAGTCTTTACAAAGTTTCAGTACTGAACTAATATAAAGTAACACTTTTGGAGGAAAGAAAGCACCATATGATAACAGGGTATATCTTAAATTCAACCATCTGTTCCTCAAGGTCACCCCACAGCTACCTTCAAATGCCAATGCAAATTCTTAGTTCAGAAGACATGAACTTCACGGTCTCAAATTTGCCTCAGTCCAGAATTGTATTGCTGGATAGGGGTAGATTCGTGCTTATGCATCTACTACCCAGGTCGGTATTTACAATGGCAATTCAGGAGAGCTTAGGGGTTCTATAGAGTGATAGTGTAACAAAGGGTATGTCTCTACCTTCCTCTAAAACTGTTAATGTACAACTGTTCTTATTTTTTGCCTCAGATATACTTTGACAAACTGTTGCACCCAGGTTTCTCATGAACTAATCACTCGTTTAAATGCAGTAATGGGTTGATCTGATTAATTTCAGATACCAGTCAGTCTAAGCCAGTAGGCTTTCTATTGACAATAAAAAGAAACAGTACTTACGATACACCAAAAGGGATGTGCCTTACCAAACTGCACATCCACCCTATGACAACATAACCTCTTTTTTTAAAGATTTTGTTCCAACTTTTGTTATTATTGATTCATCATTTGTGTTTCCTGCTGTAAGTGGTTGGTCTCCAAATATCATCTTACTTCACCTCTCTATTTCTAAAATGTTCAGTCTAGGGCAGGATATAATTTTCTCAACCTCCTCTTTTCTATCTCAGTCTGTTTTCTTCTGGCAGACTCTATCACACTATATCCTCATCTATTTAGTATCTTAAAATACTTTCAAATATCTCTTTTCAGTATTTCAAATTCTGCCATTCCTTCTGTATATTTTTCACACTATATATTTCTCCCTTGATTGTAATCTTGAGGTACTTGCTAATCTTTCTAACTCCAGCTATACTACTATATTTACTCTCTCTCTTCTGCCTTTAAATTTTCCTGATATTTCCAAACTTTTAATGTATTACAATATTTCCCCCTGTATAGAGAGCACCACTTCCAGATAATAGAAGTAATTGAGTAAACAAATCAGTGATCCCAAAATTCTTAAAAACTCAACTTGTTTCAGCACTGAAGTGCCTTTATTAGGGGGTGCAATGTGGAAAGGTGTGTGCATTGTGCTCAAAAAATACCAATATGACCCCAAGAGGAAAATAATGAAAAATAAATAAAATGTATGCACTAGCTGCACCTTCTTTTTCAGTACATTGGCTCCCTGGCCCTTGGGATTGTACAAACCGACAGGGTTATTCACAAAAGGGTGAAGAGTTTGGAGAAGCCGGGAGAAGTGAACAATCTAGGACAACATAGCTGAACTGGAAAGTGAGCTGAATTGGAGAATTTTTCCAAATCAGCTATTTTGGCCTAGATTGTTCACTTGTCCTGCCTTCTCCAAACTCTTCACCCTTTAGTGAATAACCCTGTTAGCCTTTCTGGGCTAAAAACTCAAAAGAAATTCTCAATCACTTTGATATAGAGAGGTTTCAAAGTAGGTACCTGTTTTCCAGCGTCTCATCATTTCTCCCCTAGCTCCTTCTCCACGTAGCAATGCTTCTTCCAAGCGAGCTTTTACATCCCTGGACTTCTGAAGCACTAAAGTGCTCACTTTGTCAGGTGACTGCTTTCCCTGAAAGAATAACATCCTCTATGGTAAATTGTTCATTACAATTTGCACAATTAAAAAAACAATGTATTCAGACAGAACCTGCCCTTAGGAGTTAAATGTTCTACAAATATATTTGCGTTACTGCATTCGTGAAAAACGGGAAAATGTAACAGTACGCTGGCAGACATAATGAGAAAGTATGTATGATCATTAAGAACTGTGAAAGCATACCTTGTACTCAAAGCAGGAAACACACATATACAGTAGATCCAGTATCCTGTTCAGCTGCAAAGCTGTTAAGTAGGCAAGCCACTTTTGGATGACACTCTGTTCTGCATTCTTCATGATCCATAGAAAGCAGGTAAGTAGGTTCCGTGTAGATTCTGGACTCAATGTGGAGTACATCTTAAGAGGCTGGAGAGAGGCAACAATGGACCACTGAATACTTGCTATGATATGAAACATATATAATCTCAACAGATCTAAAATGTTTTATTTCAGGATGTTCAGCATTAACTCAGAAGTTTAATCTGCTTATAATTTGACTTTGCTAAAGACAGTTTAAAAAAAAATCTTTCTGTTTTCATTACAAACCTTATTTTAGACCCAATGACATGTGATTCACCACCCAGGGCCGTCTTTATTATTGATCGGACCCTGGGCAAACAATTTGTTAGGCCCCAACCACCACACCGGCCCCCCGCAATGCCTGGTGGTGTAGCAGTAGCTCAGTCCGGATGTCACATCTCACTCTCCTGATTGACGTGCGTCATGTGACAGAAGCCACCCTCGTGTGACATCCTTTTCCTGCAGAGCAGATAGGAGGATACGTCAGAGGGAGATGTGACCCCCAGGCTACATGGTGTATGGCAGGGCGGAGCAACACTATGCGATGACAAACGCATAGTAAACAGAATGGTGCCACAAGTATATATTTTGAGGGCTCAAGGGGCAGCTGCTTTGGGCCCCACAACAGTGACTGGGCCTGGGGCAACTGTCCCTTTTCCCCATGTTAAGGATGGCCCTGCCCCACCCCACCTACCCATTCACTAGGTTGCACAGGATAAAGAACTCTCTCCCTAGCAGCATGGGATTGGCCATCATTCAAGACACCTAGCGGTATATGCTCTTCCACACCCAGGAGTACCAAGCATTTATCTTCTCAGTTGATTATAGTAGTAGGCGATCAAAAAAAATGTCATGGTGGGGGGGTTAAATAAGTGAACCTTCTGCTATGCATAGGGAAGGCACTACAAAAGACTGAGAAGTGGTAGCAGCATCCTAACATACTGTATAGTTAATTTTATTTTTCCAAACTAATTGTATGCTTAGATGATACCGTTTTCACTATACTGGAGTATTTCTAAGAATGGCCTTATGTGAATGACCTCAATGTGTTCTGAACACTTGATATCACTCATCCATTACATCAAACAGTATAAAAGGTAAATAACCAATAATTGCAGTTTTGTGCCATTTGTAATACTATTTATCTGTAAAACAAAGTTGACTGTTCCTCCTGGGTGAGCAGTGGACTTGATTTAACACATGGTTACCATAAGAACATTGGACTTACAACTGATGAAAGAGCTAGAGGGGGTGGTTTAAGGCCAAACTGATTTCCGGCTACAGCCATTGCAACACTTGGGTTTATCGTGCTCGGAGTATCTGTTTCTTCTTCTGTATTACGTGTCTTTCCACTCCGTGTATCTAGAACTAATACATGAATCAATATTTCAGTTATCATCATGTACAAGATAACAGCTCACACATAATTAAAAGACTAAATACAAACCAGTGGGTGACTGTTCATTTGCAGCGACCTCAATCTTTCTTTCTGAATTTAACAGTTTCAAGGTTACAAAGAAAGCTTCTCCTAAGCTTGAGGTTTGGATATCAGCAAATATTTTACATTTTAATTGTTACTTTAGCATAGGTTAGCATTCTAGAACAAAATATTGATTCTTAAAGCGACACAAAACACTCAGCTTTTTTCTCCTTATACACAATGAACATTCTACAAAGCCACATTTATTTATGTTTTAAAATAAAGTCTTAATATTTTAATCCCTTTAGAAAGTCTGCTGTGCTCGCTCCCATGTCTCTTCTCTCCCCTCACACTTCCTGTCCCTTAATAAGAGCCATGCACGTTGATTCTGGTCACATGCACATCTTTCTTTGCCTACAACTCCCATGAGTCAGAGAGGAATCATCTCTCATTGCACACAGCTTCCCCCTCCCCTGTTCCTCTCCTCACTATACACGCTGTGATAGTGTCACTGCTTGTAATCTCCTCTGCAATGCTCTGATTTATCAAAACTACTTCCAACAAACATCAAGTTTACAACAATCTACACAGAAAAACAACTTTATTTCAAATGTAGGAGCCATCTCCTCTGTGATTGTGTGACCCGATTCAGCATGTGAGCTGAGACTCAGAACAAAGTGCCAGACTGTCAGCAACTCTCACCTTCTGCGTATGCGCCAAATCCAGTTCTCTGTGATATTCATAGAACATTTGGGCGCATGTGCATAACGCGTAGGAAAACGCGCCAAATGACGTGTCGTAGTGGAAATGACACACAGGAAGTGCCGTACCGGAAGTGACACACAGGAAGTGATGCACTTAATCAGGTTACTTCCCTATTTAAACCCGGCCTGCACGCCTAGATTGCTGGATTGTCTTCAGCCCCTCCCCGTGTTTCTCTATCCTGCGATTACCTGTCCCTGTGAACTGACTGTCTCCTGGATTTTGACCCGATACCTTGCACCGACTACTCTTGATTGCTGCCGGCCACTGACCTTGGACTGAATACTGGACTTCTCTTTGCTCGATCCCTCTGTACCTTCTACGCTCTCCCGGTTTGACCTTGGCTTGCTTTGACCCTGATTTCCGGATTACCGCAGCTCAGCTACAGAAGCAACCTTCTGCTTGCACGGTTTCAACACCACTGGCACCCGTGCAACTCGCTGTCTGCCAGGTCCCTGTCTCCACTGCCAGAGGCCTCAGGACACGAGGTGCAAGGGAAGCCTCCTCACACGGTCAGTCTCCAACCAGGTACGGCTGGTGACAGCTCACATGCTGAATCTCCTCACAAGCAGCTCCCCCCACACTCACTCCTTGGTGAGCACAGGATATTTCTCACGTTAAGGTCATTGTAAAGGACAAGGGGGCACTCTTTGTGTCTGGATGTTTAACCTTTGCAAACACAGTTAGAGCTGTGAAAATGTGGACTAGACTCCCCCAGGACCTAGTTTTAGCTGGCTCAGTTAATTGTTTTAAAAAGAAATCTGGATGTATTCTTAAATGCACAGAATATTACTGGATATTGACTTCTTATAAGTATATTTAGCACCAGAGATTGTTGATCCAGTGAATATCCGATTGCCTTATGGGATCAGGAAGGAATTCTGTTCCCCTGTTGGAGCAAATTGAACCATGCTCTATAGGTTTTTTCCCCCCTTCCTCTGGGTGAACAGGGGATAACTGTGGGCACAGCATTCTGTTTAGGCTTTTCTTCTTTTTTTTTTCTTCATATTTCTATAGGTTGAACTCAATGGGCATGTGTCTTTTGTAACTATGTAACTATCATTTGAATTATGTTTTCATAGTTAGCTACACTGCGTAGATTGTCTTCTTAGTTCAACCACTGCAACACCTTTTATTTGCATTTTTCAGTTATAAGCATTGATTCTTGTATGGTTCTTGTTTTTTGTAAGTAAAAAACTCAAGATGATTTTGTATTATATAAATGTATATGTCTAGCAGACACTTCCTGTACCAAACTTTTTGGAGGAGGTGGCAATTGGGCTTTTTAGTGACTCGCAAAAGGGGTTCTGTATGCACATTATGGAGTATTTCACTATAAAATTAAATCTACTGTGTGACGACATGGTGATCAGTTTATAAGTTAAATGTGTATTGGTGTTGAGTTATGTTTGAGTGCGTTATGCTGTGTGACCTGGTTATGGAAAGACCATCAGCACCATCCCTCGTTATCTCCCAGTGGACATCATGACATCATGGACATCCCCAAGTGGACCCGTAGAGGGTCTCACCGGGTCTGCCATCTTTTAACTTGGGGGAGCTATGTGACGACATGGTGATCAGTTTATAAGTTAAATGTGTATTGGTGTTGAGTTATGTTTGAGTGCGTTATGCTGTGTGCCCTGGTTATGGAAAGACCATCAGCACCATCCCTCGTTATCTCCCATTGTTCTCTGAGGGAGCTCAGAACAATGACATTCTGGCCAGGCTCCTGCTATGGCTGTCTGGAGTTCGTTAGCAGGTGGACACCTGTGGTGTTGAGCAGACCGATTGTCTGGGAGGGGAGGGTGGATGTGATGGGATTATATTCTGATTTCATCACTTGCTGTATAAAAGTTTGTGCAGTTGCTCAATAAATCAGAGTTTGTTTACCCTACACTCAAGCCTTGGCTAGTGACTGGGGAAACTGGGAGCTACAGATCTTCAGGTTCCAATATCTCCTCAGCAAGGAAGAAGACAGCGGCGGACATACTCATCCTGAGTACGGGGGTCCGTCACATACTGTATTATTCTTCATCATAAAATAAAGTTCTTTACTCAGATGTCTTATTCTCTTTACTCCTAGTGCTCTCTTAATCATCCTTTCATTTGAAGCTTTCAACAATAAGTCGGATTACCTGAAAAATCATGTAGCTGAGGGAGGGCCATCAAAATAGTGCTGACCAGTGGGAGATAGAGGGCAGCAATTTTGTTTCTGATCTCAATCTTCTGGCAGCGTGAGTCCAAATCATGTGAGCTTAACAGATGGTTGACAGCATTGATAGCTTTCCTTTGCACTTTACTGATTCTGAGAAAACAAAATAATAGGATTTATCAAGCCATCAAAGTATGAAACTCTAAGCATTGTACTTCTAATTGAATGTATAACTAAATTTGTTTGATGCTGGCAACAAATGCATGTTCTTGCCCTGCATTAGGCCCTTTGCGGCCTGTCCATAAATACAGGCCTTACAAAACCTATGCACATGCTCATCTATGATAAGTAGACATAAATACCCGTCTGCCTCCTGGTCCAGTACAGCTTCCAGTTCTGTGAAAAGGAGTCCAGTTAGAAAATGCTTCTGCTTGTATTCAGATGAAAGCTCAAACATACTTGCAATCCTTTGGTCCTGGAAACTAGAGCAGGAACTAGAGTTCTGTGGGTGAAAATTTCCATGCATTATTATATTCCCTTTTATTGCAATTAGATCATTTTGACTTTGTAACAAATGCAACCAGCAATAGTTTGTTTTACTAAGTGCATGACAGTATTGTTACCTTATGGGAATGACTATTACTACAGTAACACATCCCCTTTCAGACACAGAGTAGCAGATCACTGTGATTTTTGATCATTTTGCTTGCATTTTGCTTGCACCTGCCGAGCTTCAGCATACAACACAAACAAACTGTAGACCTCCAGTTAGGTGTTAGGCCCCTTTAAGACAGGCACATACAGTTCTGATCTGCAGTTAACCAATGCAAAGATCTCCTGCTGATCAGAATGGATATCATCGTTGTGACATCCGTGTCCGCCCAGTTTTTTCCTCTATCTTGCGATGGAGGAAAAAACTTAAATGACGATACCCATGTTGGTCTATGGGGAATCGGATGTTAATGGACATGTGTCTGCTTTTTTTTTTTTTACAACATTTAGAAGTGACAAGAGCAGCAGTGTCAGCACAATGTAAATCATTATCTAGCATTGTAAAAACCTCAGCCATTTCTGTAACCTAGAAATGGCTCATTGTTAGATCTCTTGGAATTTCCCCATCGACATGCACTTCTGCTAGTGATAGCGAAGTGATATGTTTGTTTTCTCATCTTCTTGTACCTCGGATGAAATAGAAGGACATGGAGAGGCTGGTGTAGATGATGATGTAACAAAGAAAAGGTTCAGGTTGAGATACTGCTCATGGCTGCAGAGAATCCGTAGAAATTCAAGTCGCATAGAACTCAGGGTTGGGAAAGAATTCAGCTTGGCTGTCAACTAGAAAAAGAAAATAAACAAATCATTTAACACAAGATCTTCGTCAAACACATTCATAGAGCATGTCATAACCACTTATTATTACAAAGTAAGGGATTACAAAAGACAAATGTTACACAGGAAATGTATGTAACTCACCAACATTTGCAAACAATCATGATAAACGTAAAAGGATATGAAAAATGACCCAAATATGAACATTAGGGATCAGTTTCTGAATATATCTGTACACTAAAATATGAAACTGGAATCATTTTTCGTTTTGGATAACAAGAGAAAAGTTTGAACATTTGTCAGGTACTTTTTGCTGGCTGTGGTCCTATTGGACAGAAAATGTTTGGATAAAGTTTTACTTTATTGTTAAGCATTAAAAATCCCCAATCTACATTTGTTGTTTTGTAATAAAATGGCAGTTTATATCTCCAAATAGAATTGTGGAGTTGATTTACTAAAGGAAAATAGGCGTGACACTTTGCAGAACTTTCCCTTAGCTTAGCGAATTTGCTGAAAATCCACTTGGCAAAGAATACCCAATCACATGCAAGGAAATAAAAAAAACCAACAGCATTTGTGATTGCACATGATTGGATGATGGTAGTCAGCAGAGCTTCACCCCATTCACTAAGCTAAGTGAACAGCCTATTTGCCTTTGGTTAATGAACCCCAGTGTCTTAGGGGTCTATTCACACAAGGGTGCAGAGTTTGGAGAAGGCAGGAGAAGTGAACAATCTAGGACAAAATAGCTGAACTGAAAATTCAGCTCACTTTCCAGTTTAGTTATGTTGTCCTAAATTGTTCACTCCTCCTGCCTTCTCCAAACTCTTCACCCTTCAGTGAATAGACCGCTTAGTTTCTGCATTTGGAGAAGCTCCCTGAGCAAGTGGAAGCCATTTTGTGTCTAATTCCATCCCCAGCACTTCCACATATATTTGTCTATGTATGTGTAAAGATGTAATTTTCTGAAATAACTTTGAGGCTATGTTATGTTTTGTTATGAGGTTAGATATAAATAATATTTGGCCTTTTTAAATAATTGTGATTTTCAATAACTATACAAATGGATATTTACTGTTAACATATTATGACATATTATAACATTTCTGACTGGCCACAGAGGACACTTCAGCTGCAGGACATTCCAGTAAAGGGAATGTGGTAGCTGATCAATTCGATACACAAAAGAACATCATATAACTCTAAGATTAAATTCCTATTAATTAATTTGTCAAAAAGGCGGTGATGGATTTTATTTGATTGCAACACATGATGGAACAAAAGCCTTCCACTGCACATTTCCTTTTTTTTAATGTAATAATATACTTTAGAAAACATTTGAAAAACATATCTTGTGTTAGAAATTGATCTAACTTACTTGTCATTATGCCAGACAAGCCCTGTTATTTTCAAACTATTAATCTTCTTGTTCTCTATAGATCTTATGAAAATTATATTTGTGATGAAAGCTTTTCTGTAATAATTCAGGCAAAACTAAGTTTGGGTTACAACCACCTGCTTGACAAGAGTAAACTTTTACCTGCAGTCACTACAAATATCAGCACTTAAGCAAACTGCAATACCTTTATTACAGGCTTTGTGACAGGCTAGTAAGTCAAAAACAGACTACAAAAGAAAGACTCTCATCCTGGGCCAATAAATAACTCTGGAATAAGGGAACCACATTTCTAAAAACTACTCAGTCAACTAGACAAAATTAGGCAAGACAGCTATGCACAGCCTTCACATTCCAGTGTTTTTGTGTGTTTAAATGTATACTTATCTGCTATTTTTTGCTAACAATTATCATAGACTTTTGTACCTGATTGCAGTAATGTTTGATGAGATTAAAAACAAAACCTCGATCCATCAAGGATAGTAAATCATATAAGAAAAATGCCAGACTTATGTTCACTTTTTCTGCTTGTTCGACTTCCTGCAATAAAGAAGAACACAACCATAAGTAAGTCCACAGGCAAAGACATTAGGCTTAGTTTACTAAGCAATAATTAGGGATGCACCGATACCAAGTACCGTACTCGGTAGAAGTACAAGTACAGATACTTTTCCAGCTCCAAGACTAGACTAGAGAAAAATTCAAAAGTTAGGAGGCAGCTGTCATTTGTAAGGAGCACACGGAGCTCCTGGGATTTGTACATCTCTGTTTTAATATATGATTTAATTTTTATAAATATAAATAAGTGATGCACCGATAGCAGTTTTGCTGATACTTGTCCAAGTACTCACAGATACGAGTACTGATACATTTTTGTTTATTGTCATGTGAAAGTTTTTCTAAAACAATACAGACTAATGATTTCAGGACAGTGGTGGAGAACCAGAGCCAGGTCCCAGCTGCAACCTCTGCAACCCTGGTAGCTCTCATGAAAAAGCCAAGTATCGGCACTGGTACTCGAAAAGTATAGGTGCATCCCTATAATGCATGTGTTTTTTGCCATACTGATATACCGATTGCTATTTTTAGCCATGGGACTATTATCTGCAAGTCACTGCTAAAACAATTGTTAATAATAATAATTATTATTTTTATATAGGATTTATATAGCGCCAACAGTTTGCACAGAGCTTTACAATATACTGTAATACCAGCGATCTATAAGTTTTTGTAGCTAGCATTCTTAAAGGAGAACTATGGAGTTAGGGCTTTTCCCCATAGTTCTCCTTAGGGTAACGGGAGGACACAAACTATCGTCCTCCCGTCACCCTAAGCTCAGTTGAAACGGATCCCGACAATTATGTCTGGATCCGCCCAGCTGTGTGAGTGACAGCTGGCTCTGCCTATCTAGAGGCAGAGCCAGCTGTACCTGCCCCCTCCCCCGTCCGTTCCGCAAGTCAGCGCTGGAGGATTAGAGCGGGGAGGGGGGAATCCAGTCCCTCCACTGTCACGGCAGAGAGCCGTGACAGGATCGAGAAGTGAGCGAACGCCGGTATGTGTTCGCTCACTTCCCGATCTACTGAGCCCACCTGTGACAGTTTCATTGTCACAGGTCGGCTAGAACTATGAGGATGAGTGAAAAGCACTCACCTCATAGTTCTCCTTTAATTATGATTTGGTAGCTGCTGCCTTGGAGGGCCCACGGTAAATAAACATACATTTATATTTTACCTTCAAAGTGTAGCCTCCCAAAGTTTTATTTGGCTTCAGCTTGAAGCATATAACCTGTTTGGCACTTACTTTCTGTGGTTTGTTGAGAAGAGCTCCTATTTCAGAAGCAACTACATTCACTATAGTGCTTATGTCATCTTTAAAACGATTTGAGAAACGGCTTCTTCTCGGCACCTCCTGCTTGTCCACATTGTGGATGTATTGAGCCATGCTCTTCACCTAAAACCAAAGAAAAGACCATATATAAAATCACTATAGATTTATAAACAAACAACCATTACTGTTCTCCACAACTTTTCTGCTTCTCCATCCTATTATGTATTATAGGGACACAATGAACTGTACCCATGTATAAATAAATTGTTACAATTGCTGACATGATGGTACTTACCAAGAGCTCAAAGAAGAACCATGCATACTTGAAGACATTTTCCCTCACCATGTTAGTGCTAACTACCATCTGCAGAGCCAGTTCCTCATGAAAGTGCTTTTATAAAATATAAAAGAAAGAAAACATGAGATCATAAATGCATTCATATAAACATATCCTGAATAATGAGGACTGCCCATACTAGCTTATTGAAAACAGCAGAGCACAGAATATGTGGTAACCCACGCCAACCTATGTGAGTTCAGCTTATAGGAGTCACATCCATTAAGCTCTGATTGGCTGCAGTGGATTACCGCAATTGGGTATCACCATTACTTTTTGCACTGCCTAATTGAATAAGCCCAGGGCAGTATGCAATATCAAGTATAACATTTTTGGTCGAAATAGTATGTACATCATGTAGAATATTAAGCAGAAACAGAATATTATTGTACGCACAATGCTGTTGATCAACTTAGGGGGAAACTTTGGATTTTAGCCCATTTAAAATAAAGTGTAGTTTAACTGCACCAGACTTCTGCTGTCAGAGCTTATTATGAGGATCTGTATGGACCCCAGACAGTTGGTTTGGAATAAAGGTGGCCATACATGTAGCAATTTGTAAAGAGTTTAGGTACAAGTGATGACACACAAACGATCTATCAGTGATTAAAATATCAAACCATGCAACACACATTGTTCTGCATTTTTTGGTTGCCTGAAAATATTGATCAAATATTCAATCTATCAGTTTTTTAAATGCAAGTAATCTATCAAAACCGAGAAATGAATCAGTTTGAATAATGATTTGCTCTCCAATGCCTACACATATTTAATCAGTAGCAAGCGCCAAGACTCTGCCATGGCCAATTAACTTGGCAGAGAGCTCACTAAGTTAATCAAATCCAGGGTCTTTGGTCTGCAATTTGTATTCAGTTCGTTCAGTTTGATTACATTAAATGATCGACTGAATGATCATATTGATAAGTGTGTGGCCAGCATAACAGACCACAGCGGTAAGTAGACATGCACAACAAAACTTATACCCAGAGAGGTGATATTCACTACCAACGCAATAATAATTAGATGTGAGAACACTAGACAAGCAGTCCTACAGGTGCCTAATATGAAATGTCAGAATCATATGCAATATCGTTTCTTACAAATATATGTATTTACATTTTGAATCTAAAAATACAGTATAAGTCAAAGTCTTATTTCTGCACCACATTCCCCCAGACTAATTGCACAAACACTGTACCAAACATTTATCATAGAAAAAGTGTTTCAATCTGTTTATAAATATAAAGTAGATAAATGTAATTTGTTTCATTCCTGAATAATTTCTTTCCATCAGTTTAGATACATTTCAAAGAAGATGAATATATTTTCAGCTGTGATGGAAGTAAACGTTCTGATATTCCAATATGGAAGCCAGGTATCAAATGTTTACACTACCTTTTTGCTGCATGGTCTTGTGCTGGAAACAACTGACTGCAAGTCATTACTGGATTCAACAAAGTAAGACATGCGATTGCAGGTACGACTAGAAGCCTAAAGAAAATCACCAGAACACCAGAGGTCAGAGACTGCGGATGAAAGTACATTAATACACATAACATATGCTAGTATGCACAGGAAACAAAAAGACTGAAGGCCTGCCAGTCTACCACCATGTGTGTATAATTACATCTTCCCAGTGCCAGTGGTTAACTGAAATGTTAAGATCCATGCAATTCTGATTACACATGCACAGTATCAAGGAAAACGTCACACCATTTAGGGAGGTTTGGTAAAGCCCTGGGTATCCTTCTCTTTTCCGCTGTTCAGTGAGTCATGTGATCCATGCACCCCTGCCGGACAACACAGCTAGGCCTTGGATTTGTACACTGCAGTTAAACAGTGGAGCCTGGTCCAGGACCTGCCTTATCTATGAATAGACAATGGGGTAGAAGCTGTACACTAATCATCACCTCTTTTTTAAGCAAGTGTACAGTATGACTGAAAGCACTGTACAAAGCTCTGAATGGAGTGCTGGCCCTCCCTCTCCCATTCTGAGTGCTGCTGTGCAGGGAAGTACAGATGCCTGCTATCAAGGTACTTATACTAGTTAAAGTACATTACATATTATTGTAATGATTGTATAACTGGATTTTACCTAGGTATGTCATACCCTAGATAAGCTTAAAACCCAATGTTTTTAAAGAAGCAACAAAGGATTAAAGATAGGGTCACTGGCTCACCTTGGAGGACATAATGTTTTTAACTTCTTCATCAGCACTTTGCATTCCTGCAATATCTGGGTTGCTTGAGCTCATTGTTCGAGACTGTAATAATTTAGATCCTACAGCAGAAGCTGTGGTACGGCCAACCGTGTTGTAGCGCGTGTCTGAGTGGCTTCCACCTTAAAAAGGGCATGAAAACAAGACAATGAACCACTACAAGCCCTTTTAAACAGCAAAGAATGAACTTTAATTGTATGATTTATAAATCATCCACCTAGCTATACGCTGGCTGGATACCGTTCGCACTGGCTCCATGTAATGGCAGGAGTGCCATGCTGTGTGAACGGCATTTGGCCAACACGTGGCTGGGCTGATGGTTTATAAATCATACCGCAAATGTAATCCACCTAATTACAGAAAAATCTCAATATAGAACTCTGTAGCTATCCACACACAAGTACAAATAATGTGCAATAAGTAGAACACACAAATAGCTAGTGTTTTTAAACCGAGAAAAATTCTAGCAATGCCTGCCATCCATAATAATTAATCTATGCAGTCCAATCATTTGTAGGGTTATACAAGTCATTTCCTGATAGTTCAAAGTAAAAAATGATTACCAAGATATTTGTTTGGCCGCATATTACACAAATGCCTGAACACAGATTGTGTGTTTTAGCTGTATAATCTACTCACATTTACATAACTATGATTTCCTAGGTATGTTTACCATTCATTAGAGCGTGCAGAGTCCAGTTATTGGAACAAAACATGCTGACTGCATTTTTAAAAACCCTTTTTGGGCACTGCAGATATTTTAGTAAGCTCCATGAACACTTGAGTTTCTGAGTAGAAATGTGCATTTCTCTTAAAAGTTATATCTGGTCAAAAAAAATAAAACATGTATATCTTACATCTTTGCACTACTTGCACATTTCACCAAGGTTTGTCTCTTTCAAAATGTCATAAAGCATTGTATTTTGCATCACTGTATATAAATAATGAACAGGAACAGTTAGCGCCAAACTACAGGAAAAAATGATCATTTACACACTGCACTAGATTTAAAATTAACATTAAAAAGCTATATGTTATATACAGAGGGCTGCCGTAAAGTATAAAGTTAATGCTATGCAGCATGCTGTCTCCTACACATAATGCCAAGCTTCTGAGTGTTGCGGGGTGTGAGGGGTGCGACTCAATCAGGGAAGTGCTCTGGTTGCCTAACCCACCCCTCACTACTATTGCCCATTCTCAAAATGCCTTGTGTTTTACTTGAAAGAGAACTATGGGGTAAGTGTTTTTCCCCATAGTTCTCCTAAGGGTCAGGGGAGGACATAAACTAGCGTCCTCACGTGACCCAAAGCTCAGTATATCGCAACCTACAGCTCGCGGTATACTGAGACCGCCGCAGCCGGGTCGGATCCCGACATTAATGTCGAAATTCACCGAGCTGCGTGAGTGACAGCGGGCTCTGCCTATCTAGAGGCAGAGTCAGCTGTACCCGCCCCCTCCCCCGTCCGTTCTGCCAGTCAGCGCTGGAGGATCGGAGCGGGGAGGGGGGAATCCCTGCAGGGAGCCGTGAGTGACAGTCACGGCTCTCTGCAGGAAGATGATCGAGACGTGAGCGAGCGACGGTATGTGTTCGCTCAATTCCCCTTTACATTGAACCGACGTGTGACAGTTTCATTGTCACACGTCGGCTCGAACTATGAGGTTGAGTGAAAATCACCTTTAAAGAACTATGATCTATGATTGGAGGAGAGATGATGTTACATCCCCGCCCTCTCCTCCTTCAATTATAGAACAGTTCGTATTATTTAAGAAAACTAAAAAGCATTATGTGCATGGCCGTGTAGTAAGAAGGGATGGAGATATGACTGGAACACTTCACTGCTTGTGTCACATCCTTGCAGCGTCTAGAAAACCAGTATTTTGTGTAGAATTTTTCATGCTTTATGGTAAGATTTTTAAACTTTGCAGTACCCACCCATACATAACACACAGATTTTTGAATTACATTTTACACACCCAGTGCAATTTGTAAATAACCTTTTTCCCGGAGTGTGAGCTTGTTCACATCATGTCCGGACCAGAAATTTTTTTGTCCGCACCTAAAATGCATCCCAATGTATTCCTATGGTATTTCTGGGCTCTGTTTGCACCAGTGTGGTCCGTTCCCGTGCAGGAAAAAAATACTGCATGCACTATTTTTTCTGGCCTGGAACACACCGAAACAAATGTAAACACATAAAAAATGAATGGAAAAGCACTGCAACGCATCTGAAAGCCTATTCAGCCTAAACAAATGCACTAGAACGCGTCAAAACTGCATTAAAAATGCACCGCACCACATTTGCAGAAACACATCCAGATCTGGTCCGGACATGCTGTGAACAAGCCCTGTGTGTTTAAAGAAAAGAATGGCATACAGAATTTAAATGCTTATGTTGTCACTTTTTCTACTAACACTGCACACATGTGCAATGAAATCATACAAAACTTTAAAAAAAAACATGTAGCAATTTTGAGAGCAATAAAACATTAACCTGCGTTCAGAATGGGCAAAATGACTTTCATGACTAGAAGTGGGTAGGGGACTATACCTGCTATGTACATGTCCTTTAGGACATCTGGAAGACGAAACACATAATACACATAGGACGCCAACAAACAGTTTCTTCCATGCTGATCCTTGCTGAGATCTTTACTATTGTGAAGGCTACTCACAATGGAAACCACAGATTCAAAGGTAAATTGAGAAAAGGTTGCTGCAAAAAAAAAAGAGATGACACAGGCTTTCAGAATGTACTCAGACATGTGCTGCCATCTGCTGGCTGCAATAGTACTGTTGTCTGCTTTATCTTGAGGATATTTATTACAGGGCTAGTCACAAAAGGGTGCAGAGTTTGGAGAAGGGAGGAGAAGAGAACAATCTAGGACAACATCGCTGATTTGGAAAAATTCTCCAATTCAGCTCACTTTCCAGTTCAGCGATGTTGTCCTAGATTGTTCACTTCTCCTGCCTTCTCCAAACTCTTCACCCTTTTGTGAATAACCCTGTTAGAGTTACAGTTAAAGTTTAAAAAGGAATAATCAGACATTTCATGGCACTTTTATTTCTAACTTTTTGTATTACTAATTGTATAACTTTATAGCTGAACTATAAAATTATGTTTTCTTTTTTTATAATGCAGCTAGTGTAAATACTTGAATTTATCTAGATATCAGCCGCTTGTAATTCCCTGCATAACCTTACTTGGGATAGAAGTAGGGAGGGCCAACAATAGGAACCAGTGTGTGGTGTGCTGCAATGAACAAGTGCTGACATGTAACATGCTGACAGCAGGAGGCAGCAGAGAAGGAAGAGGGACTCATCATTGTACTGTTGCTACTTTACTGTCTCGTCACAGACCACATGTGAGCAGTGAGGTGACCAAGGTATGAGTTTTAATTGCAGTAGAGAAAGGTCAGATCACCAACCTGGCTTTGCTGACAGGGCTGTGTAAATCTCAAGACTGGAAGAAGAGAATTACAAATGCTTTGCAAGTAAACCAGTAAATACATGTATTTTTAACTACATTTTTAACTAAATATGCTTAGTGTGGTTACACTGTGATGGATGTATACCAGTGCAGCACTAATGAACAATAAGTGGCTGATGTATAAACGTTCTGCCCAGTGTATAGCTGGGCAAATGCCGTTCGCACACAATACTGCCGCTAAAGAGAAACAAAGAACATTTATACATCAGCCCCTTAAAGGAGAAGTATTGGGAGAGTAAAATATACTCTTCCTAATACTTAAAGCCAGTGTGGGATACTGCAGCTGTAACATGCTGGCTCTATAGATAGAGAGTAATCATGTAACCGCTGATTGCTTAGTTCACGTTCTTCTCCTTGCAGAGAGTAGTGACACCAATAAGTCACCCCCCTCCCCTCTCCGTTCCTGCAGCGTTCATTGGAGGGACAGACAGGGGAGGGGGCGGGCACATATGGACCTGGCTCTAGAGAGGCAGAGCCAGCTGTCAATCAGGCAGCGGGGTGGATCCCAATAATATTTTCAGGATCTTACCTTGCTGCAGCACAGCTTTACAGTCTCAGCATATAGTGGGCAGTAGGCAGCTGTCAATCTGGCAGCCAGGTTGATCCCAGCAATATTGTCAGGATACTTCCTGACTGCAATGTGGCTCTAGTTCTCTTTTAATGTTATATTTATTCTCAAATCTGTTTTTTGAAGGATTTATATATTAACATGTATGTTCGTAGAATAAAAGCAAGCAGTTATAATGGCAGTAGTGGCTTCAGCACAGGTTCCTAACAGCTTAGTTGGGATAGATGAACCTATACTGTTAGGCATTACTTCTTATGTGAACAGATTGACCTTTTTTGTATCAAAGTGTACAACCCACACATGCCTACAACTGTAAAAATGCAAACTGTTAGGCTACATTCACACTATGCAAATTGGGATTCCTGCTGCAGGAACCTCTGGATTCCTGCGGTAGGAATCCCAAATCTCCCGTTTAGATGTGGCTGGTGTCACACATTCAAGGTAATTACAGGGTGATAGTGACCGCATCTGTAAGCAGCAGTCTGCATGTAATCGTATGTGATATGATTACATGTGGTTTGGAATAGATCACTGTCCCTGGATGCACAATAGATGTGACAGTGGCCGCATCTAAATGGAAGATTTGTGACTTCTGCCGCAGGAATCCATAGGTTCCTGCCCCAGGAATCCTAAATCGCATATTGTGAATGAGGCCTTACTCAATGGAAACCTTCAAACTGGTCCTAATTAATTTATTCATTCTATACTCCTAAAAAAAGTCAGTAAAAAAAAAAAAATGATTTTAGTGCTCCTACCAGTCTGCCCCCCAATCACCATGGGTTGCACAGTAAGATGGAAAAGTTTGTCCAAGACAAGATGAAGAAATAAGACCAATGGTTCCAGTCTGGAAGAACTTAATTGAATGATGCTGAGTTTGAGTTCATGCTCCAAGGAGTTCTCATTAATCTTTTGGTCCAGGACTCGGATTGGAAATGTTACTGGACCTTCCAGTGCATGGCAGAGAGTTAAAAATTTCTCCAGATGATTATCCTGAAAATATACATTAGATGTGCGCATATATTTTTAATTTGTTTCTTAGGACTGAAAAATGTACATTCCATGTATTTCTTTTTATTAATTTCTTGATTTACAATTTATATCACACAAAAAAAAAAAATAGCACATTACAAATTATACTAGAGCACAATTATACTAGAACACTCTTAGTGGATATGTATGTTTTATATTGTTGGATAAATCATTTGTGCAGTGTTAGTTAAAGATGCACTTTCTTGTATATTACCTGAGTGTGTACAGAAGAAACTGCTTGCACTTCCAGATTAAAAACTCCCTTGTGTCCTTCCACCCACTTTATAGGTGTGGGTTGTGCTGGTAATTTCTGCAAACAAAACACATACATTTTAATTTGGTTGACTGCAACATAACTGTAATTTAACAAATCAGATGTAATAAACCCATATTATGATCCAGGTATCCTATAGATAGTTGTGTCTGTGGTTCCTTAGACTAGTGAGATAAATGTAAAAAAAAAAAAAAAAATTAAATACAAAACTAAAGTATAAACCCAAAACAAAAATGTAATATATAGTGCAAAAAACGAATGCACCCACCACATGTAAAAATTGTATATACTAGATATAATACATTTTTGTTTTTGGCTTTAGACAGGCTTTAAAGGATGTGTACTTGTGGCACCAAAAATGTCAGAGTGGTGGAGTTACTTAGCATATGATATTTAGGTCACCTTCCATGCTCACCTTAACACAACAATGCATTATACAGTCAGGAATAAAGGACCTTGGTGATATGTGTGTAGCTGCTTGCTGGTAGGCTTTGGCATTCATCTCATTTTGGCTCCTATTTTCCCCTTTTCTCTGCCTATGTTTCCACTGCATACAGATTGGATGTGTCTGTGAAGACAGAACGGGCCTCTGATAGTGCCGGGCTGAGTACAGCCTCTTAGTTGACTTTTTTTTAGCTCTAATAATAATTGATTTTTTCCAGGTAACGAATAGTACTGCAGAGACAGCCTTAAAGTGATATTAAAGTCAATAGGGTTTTTAAGCTCTTTCAAATGCTGATGACATCACTTGCAATGGATGCTGCTTCTTGATGTTTAAAAGTTTCAGTTTCCTGCAGACTCAGCTGGTCCCCTGAGCACTGGCCCTGATATCCTGTGTTAGGGTGGCTCCTTTCCTTTGAAGGGTCCTATGGAGCCACCGTTGTGTGTACTAGTAAGCTGTGTGTGACTCCACAAACACACAGAGCAAGGAAAGCCACTATCCTCCCCTCTTTGTTATATTAGTATATGGGCAGGTGCGGGAAACTGTGCTGTCCCTTGTGATCTTGTACTGGACAGGAAGTTTAGAGAAGCTGAGCTTTTACCTCTGGAGAATGCATAGAGTAGTTTGCCGGCAGCTTTTCGGTGGCCACTGGGAGGCAGTAATGTCCAGTCTGAAGTCGGTCATTTAGCAAAATTGGCAGCCACTAAGAAGAAGCACATTTTGTATTATTTTTATTAATGATAATAAGTATAGTAATAATAATTAAAAGGAGAACACGAATCGTGCTATTTCACTCACAGAATACGCCAGGACAGATTCCACTGAATTGCCAGCTTTCTGCTGACAGCTGATATGATAAAATGTGAACAGCAGGTGATGTTTTTCTGTAAGTTTTGCTGGTAGTCTAATTTTGACTTCTTCATAGAAATCAGGGGCCCTAAAAATAAGGAACAAATACAGTAAACAGAAAAAAATATATATATACCGTAGTAAGGAGTCTGAACATGACATCTGCCAGAACAAAATGATCTGCCTTTGGAGAGTCCCAAAAATTTTCCTTTACTGCTCTTTACTATTACGCAGTTATGCTATACCATGTGTCTGACATCTGTTCGTAAACCGCTCTGACAGTACTATAAAAATACTTTGCAAAGCAGGAAATTACTATTCAAGGATGTCTCAAAAACTCTAACTCTAACCAATTTCTGGTATCCTCCTTTGCTGCGAATACATTGAATGAAAGGCTTACTTTACCTTGATTTATGTTGTTGGGGCTTTTTTTTACATTTATAGTGTAAATGGTAAGCTAGTACAATACTCAATCAACCAATTACATTTAAGCATTTATCAGTTAGAACATCCAAAATGTAAAAAAAAATTAGTTCTGCTTGGTTGATACTGGTTATTTCATTTTATGATGTGCTCTTATAAAATAAAGGTTTGCCTTATGTGGTGTTGGAGCGGGCTGAACCTTTCTGCACTAGAAGTGATATAAGCAGCAGGTTAGTGTTGTCTATGTACACTTGCTATAAAACTGGTGTAATTCTGCAATTACCAAAGATGGCGTGGACGTCTTGAGACTGTGGGTGGAACATTGTATGAAAGTTGGTGGAGTAAGGGTGTAAATGGCCAGATCAAGATTGGTTAAAGGAGAAGTATTGGCAGATTGAAATATACTCTTCCCAATACTTAGAGTTGGCATGTGATACTGCTGCACACGTTAGCTCTATGTATCAAAAGCTAAGGAATCACAAACTGCTGATCGCTCAGCTCACGGCCTTCTCCCTGCAGAAAGTTGTGACTTTCAGTCACAGCTCCCTGCAGGGATTCCCCTCTCCGTTCCTCTAGCACTCATTGGAGGGACAAACAGAGGAGGGGGTAGGCACAACTGGCTCTGGCTCCAGACCTGTCAATCAGGCAGTGGGGGGATCCCAACAATATTGTCTGGATCCTTCCAGGCCACAGTGTGGCTCTGCGTTGTCAGTACATAGCAGACAGTAGCCTGCAGTATGCTGACTTTGGGTCACAGGAGGACATAGTAAATATACTCTTGTCACCATAAGAGAAATAAATCCAAAAAAATGTTTACTTTTAATGTAGGTAATGGTGGGGCCACAAATGTTTTAAATATGAAATATGTAGCTGTCAGACCTACTTATTATGATAGGTAACTGCTGTGTACACCTCTTCCAAGAATTCTGAGCCATTGGATTTTCCAAAAATGACCTGTAAATTCAAAAACATACAAATGGCATTTGATTAAAATTTTCAGTAGTCAGCCAAAAAATAATAATCCATTAATTGTTCAAATAAAACCCAATATTCAATGACGGACTCATTTACTGTGGGTGAGGGTGGGAGAGTACCTGCGTTCCGGTCCAGTGCGATCTGCAAAAATGCTGCAATTTTTGCAGATAGCAGTGGACCGGAATGCAGGCACTAATGTGCTTGCGTTCCGGGTGCCGGCGATCGCACTGTGGGTGGGGGGCATGGCTGCAGTGCCATTGACAACCCCACGCCCCATCCCGCCCCTGAACGCAGGGAGTCGGCCTGCTTGCATTCCAGTGCGTTCTAGAGGCGCCGGCATCCTGTCATCCCGCGGTGCTCGTGTGGCCGAATGTGGCTGATGTTGCACACGGGTAGAGGTGTCCTGCCCCTTTCCATCTGTAACACATTCAGCCGGCAGCCACACGAGCACCGTGGGAGCATAGCCGTAGCTAGCTCCTTTTGAGCACGAGGCAAGAAAAAAAAGCCGTACACCCCCCCCCCCCCCCCAACAGATGTGTGATGTCACCCAGTGCCCTGCCTCCAGGATTTTTATTTTTAAATTTTTTTTACTTTTAATTGTTTTAATTGTAATTTTTTTTATTTTTTTTTTACTGTTGGGGGTCTTCGGGGAAATACTAGGGGTCTAAACAGCACCCTGATATTTACCTTTTAAAATAGAAAAATAAATTGAGGACACAGAGTCCTCAATCTCTTTTTCTGCAGCCTCTGTTCTAAATGAATGGAAAGTACAGAAGCTTCCCATTCATTCAGAAAATATTTACTATCAAGCAGTTTCTGAATGGGGAGGAGCCTCTGTACAGAGTACTACTCCCCACTGAGAAACTCATGAATGAACAGGAAGTGATTTAAAGCACTTCCTGTGCATTCTTAACTAGTACTATGTGTCCCCAGTTATTTACAAACGCTGGAGTGATCAGCTGATCGCTCCAGTGTTTGTCCTGCACAGAGGATTGGTACATATCACTGATATGTACCAATCCTCCATCACTAGGCCACGCACAGAGGGGGGCTCAGCTTCTCCTCTGGATCCCCGCTGCTCTCCTGGGCAGAGGCAGCGGGGTATCCGAGGAGAAGTGAAGGAAGCACTTCAGCCGCGGGGGGAGGACGGAGCCGCTGTCACAGAAGTAAGGCCGAGCGGTGAGGAGAGAGAGAGAGCCGCCGGCTGTCAGATCCTGGCCGAGCGTCTCTCACTCTCCTCACCGCTCGCCCTTACTTCTGTGATAGCGGCTCCGTCCTCCGCCAACCCCAGGCCCCCCTCCCCAGCCGACGGCTGCAGCGCTTTGTTCATTTTTCCTCGGATCCCCGCTGCATACAGATCCAGAGAAGAATCCCCATGGCGGGAGGACAGGACATCGCAATCTACCAGTGATCGCTTTGCGATCGACTGGTAGATCGCGATCGACCTAATGGGCACCCCTGCTGTATACCATTAAAATGTTATTTAAAAAAACTTAAACTTCAAAGGAAACCCTCAGTGAGAGAATCTAGGATTGTTGACCTCTTCTTCTAAGAAGGCTAGTTGTCAGGCTGTCATTCTGATCCAATGACTTCAATATTTTATAGGGTACTGAACTTGAGCAAGTATCAAGGTCATGATTTGTGACCTCACCTTAACTGCTTTACCTGCATGCTTATTCTTGGTCTGAAAGTAATAAAGTCAAACACTGGCAAGCAACTAGTAAATGTAGAAGGAAATCAGCAATGACAGCCCCTGTATTTCTCTTAGTGAAGATTTCCTTTAAAGAAGATCTACATTAATTTTTTTTTTATTAAGCTTCTTCCTAGACTCGTCCTTCCAGTGTTTCTCCCCCTCCTCTGCAGCGGTCTAAGGTCCCGTAAATCATCAATATATATACATAGTGCACAGACTGAGGATGCTGAGGAAGATTCCAATGCTGCTGTGGAGAGGGAGGCAGGCTGGAGGAACGCTGTGACAGCTGGCCGGCTCAGAGCTTTGGGTGAGCATATCTTTGTTCTTTTTGCCCTAGACACAGCACTTAAGGGTTAATAAAAAGTTTTCCTGGAGTTCTTTTTTAATGATTTGCATAATTTGCATCTTTCTTAAGATAAAGTAAACAAAAGTTTTAAAAATCAAACTGATGTTGTTACCGGGAGAGAGCACTTAGTATCTTCCCCACACATGAACTGTATTTTGATAGTAATGTTTCTTGCAGACGAAAGGCGATTTGCAAAATTCAGTCTCTGCGGATAGACATAGAGCAAGTTCCTGAAAAACATAATAGAAGAAATGCTTTAGTAAAAATAGTTCTGTTGTGGTGCATTGGCAGCCCATTCACAATAAACCTGCAGACTTACAGTAGTGTTAAACTCTCAAACTTTTTTTTCAATAATGAATCCAGATCAAACAAATATACATTGCCCAGCAAAGCATTGTTTTACTTTGTTGACCAAATACTTACAGTCATCATGTTTCTGAACAGCTACAAGTCCCTCAGCTCAGCTTCCCTGAACTTCCTGCCCAGTGCAGGATCACAAGGGACAGAGCAGACTCCAGCAACTGTTCATCTACTAACTTAGGGAAGAGGAGGGAGGAGAGGGGGCCAGGGAGGAGGCGGGTAGCTGGATTTGCTGTGCCTGTGTGTTTGTGGAGACACACACAGCTTACTAGCACACACAAAGGTGACTGCATAGCAGTCTGCTTGAGAAGGGAGTCACTCTAAAAAAGGAAACTAAAACTTTAAAAATATCAAGAAGCAGCATTCATTTTAAGTGATTTCATCAGCATTTGAAATATCTTAAACCATTTTGACTTTAATATCATTTAATGGGACCTTGTATGCAGAGCTAATTTTCAACTGAACTGACCAACAAACAAATGGAGAATGAAAAGATGGTTTCATGTTTCCTGAACTATAGAGAGAGCTCTGGCTCCAAGAAACTGCTGCACCCCTCCGTCCCCTACTGTTCTCCTACTAAATTTGGGCAACAAGTGCAGACGTGGACAGAAGAGGCAAAGTAAGGGAAAAGTTATCAAAATATGTACTGTTTGAACCTTGGCGTTTCCCCTTCTAACCCTGCTGCCCTAGGCAATGAGTGAGATTCTAGTAATACAATACTGTCCTAATTGTGCATTTCTGTCAGTTTTTAGGAGACAAGAACATGAACAGTCACGTTGTTTTTATAAGGGGGAGTAAAGGTCATTTGTCCAGACACACAATGAGACTTGACAGCTATGGAACCTAAACTGTGAGGCTTCATACCACAGCTTTCCAGTGCACTAGCAAACACAGAGACAATGGTTTACAGATGGAAGTGTAATTTCTCACATTATTAAGCCAATATAATTATAGTTATCCTTGATCCTTATTTAAAGTTATAAAGTCTAATAATGAATGTAAACCAACACTTCTATTAGATCCATGATGCATTATTAATGATGAATAAATACATTTGTGATAAACTGAATTCTTGACTTCATATTATGTTGTGTGGATGAGAGGTGCGTGGGTAGATCATTTGTCCAGTACTGCAAAATAACCGTACTGTTTTCTGTTGTTTTTTAAATAATCCTTTGCTAAGAAAATTTAGGATAAGTGAACCAACAAGAGATAATTTCTCAGTATGACTTTAAATGATCAGTTTATCTACAGGACAAGAAGTGAAGAGAAATCTCCCTAGTGACATAGATGGCAAAAAAAAAAAACCTGACAGGAGTGTAAGGCCCCATTCACACTTGCGAATGGGGACAGATCACAGTGTCTCATGAATTCCTCTGTGAGACTCTTGCGATCTGCTGCGGGTGGGAGGTGTTGTATAAATTAATGACTGTTTCCACTGCCCAACTGTTCGCAACCTGGTCATCCACAGGTAATCACAGCTTGTGTGATTGCTTGCGAACGGACTGCGAACAGCTGCAGGCGGTAACAGCTGTCATGGGATTATCGAGTGCCTCCGGCACTGTGTAGATTGCATGAGTCTCACAGAGGAATTTGTAGGTGTGAATGGGACCTAATGTTTCCAAAAAAAAGATAGATTGGGCTTTAGATATACTTTAATTAACATGTAAATGTAAAATGATTCAATATATGATAAAAATCAGTATAAGAACTGAAAGAAAATTTTGCCAGTGCAGCTGTTGTTATAATATTTTCCATAATATGGGGAACAAACACGACACGGCAGTATACAAATGTAAGGAAAGAGAAAAAGAGGACAAGAATCAATGCATATATAATCCCAACAGATAGAGGCCCATTGTGCACCTGGTAGATGCATTAAAATCCAGCAGGTCCATATTGCAAAGCATCTGTCAAAAGCTAAATTCTTGTAATAATGGTCTATCCATAACAGACATTGCTTTATGGGGGTAAGGGGTTGGCTTGGCGGGGATGCCTCTCTGCTTACAGTATTTTGGAATAAGGCTTTTGGCTACATTGAAGGAGGTATATTCTTGTACGGGTCAAGGGAACCATGTGTACAGTGGAATAAGGTTTTATTAGGGTGAAAAGTAAGATCCTGGTTTCAAACAGTATGCAGCCATCAATAAATTCATATTAAAATGCAACCATAGTTTAAAGAATCCAATTGTATAAAACATTCCAACAAGGTAATCTAATGCATACAGACTTATATAGACTATGTCACTGTATCCACATTTGTGGATTCAAAAACAGTGTATATCACTACTCTGCTGTACTCCTTAATGGATATGTCTCAATAGCTTCAACTGAGATTAATTTATGTCATAACTTCACTGCTTGCATCTGCAGACAAATATTGGGACACACACTCACACCACTGCATCTGAAAAAAAGCTTTTTTTGCTGGATAGCATTTTTAGCCCTGGAGTGAAGGCTTACTTTCCTGCCAAGCAAGGCAAAGTTCAAGGCATGCTAGAACTCTGGTAATCCTTTGTAATCAGCGCCTCAGCATCAGAGCAGTCAGACTTTCACTCCTGCACAAAGCTATCAGTGTGCGAAGCACAATGCCATCATTTCATCATCTTAAAAATCCTTTTTTGCTTGAAGTGCAAAACCGTCTCAACTGACTGGCATACATGTACCACCATTGATGGTCTACAAATTGATATTAAAAAAAACCCTGTTATCCTGAAAACATGAAAAATGACTGGAAAGCTTTAACTAATTTCTGGAGGCTTTATGCACGTTACCTACCAAAACGCTGAGTTCAGATGCGTTTGGAGCTTATTTCTAAACACATCTGGACTCATGTAATGCTTTTCTATGACTGAATGCACACCTAGGCATCCAGCAGCGTCTAGGTTCCTTCAGTCTAGGTCAGTTTATGCAAAATAGAAATGTCTGCGTTCCCGGTCCGACGAGCCCAGTTTTATGAGGCTAAACGCGTGTAAACACAAGCAAGCCCAGCACAGAAAAAAGTGATCTGGGAAGCATAAAGTTGTTTATACTTACCAGAAAACTTCTGTTGGGGCTTAGACACAGCCTGCTAGTGTGCATGAGGCCTTAGGAAGAGCACATCATGTGAAAAGTTTGGTAAGAGGGATGCCATATAAAGGCAGTCCCCGAGTTACATACATCCGACTTACATCCGACTCCTACTTACAAACGGAGGCTATTATTGTACAGCAGGGGTAGTTGTAATGCTGCCACGCTCGTGCCAACGAGGAGTGCCCGCCTTTTTGGGTCTGGTTTGTAGTACTGTATGTACATTACAGGAAGTTGGCTCCTGTTAGACGTGCAGGCGAGGAGTACCCGCCTCTTCTTCCGGGTCACTGTGAGGTTTTTACTGCTGCCTGTATCCTCATTAGAAAAATTTAATCTCACTTCCTGTCCTTGAGACAAAAGGAAGTGAAAGGAAATCTACCCCTAGGAAGGGGAATTCACTCCTGTAAGAGTGATCATGGGAAAAAGGTGTCTCCACTGAAGCTTTATCACCAATCCTTGTTTCCACGACAACCCAACATTTTTAAAGTCCATTTGTCACAGGGACAGAAAGTGAAGTGAAATCTTCTGAACAGGGGCACACACAGCAAAACAAACTTTACAGGGGGTTAACCCTTCCCTATGATATCTGAAACAAACAAACAAACAAACACATTTGGGCTGCAGTTACACTTAAAAAATGTATCTGTTCCAACATACATACAAATTCTCTGTCTTGTTCGTAACCCGGGGACTGCCTGTAAAATTGTGTCATTTTTAGCCATATGACCTTGCAATAAAGTCATTAGATTATAAGCTCTCTTGGGGCACACATTAAGTAATTTGTCTGTGCTAAATTAAAACGAGAGGACACACAAAAATATCAACAAAAAAAAAAATCAGTTTATAAACCACTTTGGGTTTACCAGGACGTTCGGAGAAGGGATTATGTATGCCATACAGTTTCAGGGTACTCTACTCTCTGGTTAGTCCATTGTGCACCTTCCATATTAATCATTGAATTCAGTGCTAAAAGTCTGATGAACCATGTTTACTGTCAGAATGCTGTACAATTTCACCTCAATGCCTTCTTCTCAATACAATTGGACCTCAACTGCCAACAGATACTAGCTAGTTTTACCAATAGAGATGTCTTAATTTTTCCCCCCTGAAATTTTGCATACTGACAAATGAGAATTAGATTCCAAGCATTTTACAATGTTTTATCTGAAATTGTACTTTCATCTGGAATTTACTTTCTCAGAATTTCTCAGTTTTTTCATGACATAATTTCCATAAAGTAATTGATATCCTACTAAATGAAGCTGCAGATGTCCACGAAGGAAAGGTGTTGAATGGGAAAGCTAAACTCATATATCCAGCAATGCACAATGGGAATATTATACATGGAAGGAAAAGGTAATCTCTTTAGTAACAAAGTGAAAATTCAAGGCACTTCTGCCTTGTGCCAGGCAATCCTCAATCAAAAAGGAGCCAGTTAGAAAACCTTCAGCGGAATGATGCTTGCAGCCAATCAGTTGCAAGCAAATTTCAGGTCTTTCAACAGTGGTCGGAGGCCAGTGTCAGCATACAATAGGGGTGATTCCTCCATCCACGCTGTTAAGCGTGGATGGAGGAATCTGTTATATTTTCTTTGTTCAGCCTGCTGGTTGAACGAAGAAAATATTACAGTGTATGGCCAACTTAATTCTTTCTATAAGGACAGATCACTGTGAAGGTGCTCAGAAAAACTTGGATACAGCCATGTCACCTGCTGCAACAAAACATCTAAAAGGTAAGAAATATTTTTTTTTAAATTGTTTGTTATGAGTGAATGTGAGCACTTACAAACATATAGAGGGGTTTTCTCACATTTGACTGAAAAAGTGGAAATATAATTTAAGGATCCTGAGATGTGCTTAGTCAGTCTTATAGAGAGTTTGACTTTCGACCAGTCAGACCTGACCCATAGACCTGTACTGAGAAAAGAATGTTAGTCACTGTGTAGTACTATTGAGCTGGAGGAAGACTCTGCACATGTAATGAGAAAATATGCTGCCTTATTGTACATATGAGGCAGTATATTTATGAAAAAGGTGATAGAAGAAAAAATGACTCATTCATAAATATATCTAAAAATGATAAACATACTACAGCTTTCCAATAAGCAGTCCTTTTCAGGAATATAACATCTGCTGTGTTCTGGCTGTACTCCATCTAACTTTAGTATGTCCCCTCCAAAGAGCTCAGCTCTGCATGATGTTTCATGATTCAGATTACAAAGACAATGGATGGAATGCTTTGCTGCTAACATGTTTTATTAACCTTACAGAATCATTAAAAGCACAGACACTTAAGAAATAAAACCTTCTAACTGGGTGTGGATGTACACATAAAAAGTTGCATACATTATTTTTTGCAACGCAGAGCACTACAACGCAGTATAGTGCATTGCTCTGTGTTGTGGTGCGGCAACGTAGGTGCATTGGGGTGCCATTAACAATAAAAAGCACCCCCGCTTACCATTGCAAGTTTGTGGGCTCTACCGCAGAGCAAGAACATGAACCCAGCCTTAAAGTTTGGTGTTGCCCCTTACCCTGCTTCACTAGGCACTGGCCCATTATGGTGCATACAACCATGGATGTTTCGCCAAAACTCTGTACAACTGCCACAAGTCTGGCAAAAAACTATATACTGATAGGTTGCTTTGCCACCACTGACGAAGTCACTAGAGTGGAGTTTGGGAATGGCGTGGGCTAGCAAAGACTAGGAGGAGAGAATGGGATGGAGCTCCCGGTGAGGCGGCTGCGGCCAGAAATGTTTAAAGATTTTATGTGATTACGTTTTATGTGAGTAGTATTTTCATAAATACAGTAAACTCCCCATTATCCGGCATCCACAGGGATTGGTAGATTCCGGATCAATATAGTTTCTGGTCGCTTGAGAGTTACTAATAAAAATGTGTTTAACTAATGCTATACCCCATACTAAACCATACCATAACAGTATATTGTACTCTAAACCAGTAGAAGTACTCGGAGTGATCACTAGGTGGCGCTTGTTTCCAGGATAACACAGCAGTTTTCAGAGATCGTTCAGACAGTCATTCCCAGGATAATCCAGCACTTTTCAGCCCATTCCTGTACCTTTCCATGCTCCACTATCCCTCTCCTTGAAGGTGGCAGATCAGCAGAACAGTGAGTACACAAGGGATTTTTTTTGTGCCGGTTAGATGGAGGTTCCGGGTAGCTGAATACCGGAAAACAAAGTGTTTACTGTCATTTGTTTGTGTATGAACGGTGTGCACTATGGGTCCCCTTTTTGCCTTATATATGGTTACCATATTGTGAGAGAGAGACGGCGAGAGGAGTGATCAAGTGGCTGCCACGGATCTGGGTATTATCTCGCCCGCTACAAAATTGAAAGGGGATTTGCATTGTAAGACCTTGGAAATAAGGTCTTATCCAGTGAGCAGCTCTCTGGAAGGTGCTCACATCAGTGGTGAAGGCACTTCTGCACATTGGTGGTGATAGCAGTTGTTGAGGACTGGTGGAAACCATGCATTAATCGGCACATATGGAGCATTGCACATTTTGAAGTGTCGCTAATGTTTGGACTGTAGACACTGTAAAGGACTGAAGTGAAGTTCTTTTATGTTTTGAGTTGACATATAATATTGAATCACTTTGGGATTTTTTTTCTTTATATATGTTTAGTTTGCACATTAAGGATTTGTGTATAGCGTGGCATATAGATTGGTAAACATTTTTCAATTAGTTTAACACTATTTTAGTGCTTGCTGCAAGAGTTATATTGGCACAAAGCATTCACACTTAGCAGGTTGCTTTGCTTCTATTTCAAGAGACAGCATAGACAGATGCAATAAAAGCTGTAGAGGAAAAAGCACTGCTTTTGCTGTAGATCAGTGAAAACAAAAACGTTTGAAGCACTGCATTTGAAAATGGAAACATAGTCTTATACAAATATGGTTCTCAGGTTAGTCCTCTTAGGCTGGGTTCACACCTGGGCGTTCCTAATAGGCGTGTTTTAATGCGCGTTTTTGCACTTGCGTTTGAAGCATGTTTTTCTGTCCAATGAAACGCGCGTTCAAAGCGCGTTTTTTAACCTCACTGGCGGTATGATTTTTTTTTCTTTTCCTTTTTTTCCTCTATCTGTTTTTCCGTTTGTTTTTTTTAAACTTGTAAACTTCCCACCGGTTCCGCCCCCCTGCGTTGCGGACGCTCGCAAGGGATGGAATCCGGAAGACAGATGCCCGCAGCGGCCGAGGACACAGTGGGGATCGCGGACAAGGTAAGACCTACGCTGTATTCCCGAGTGTGGCTCTGGGTTACCGCTTTGTTACAGAAAATTAAACCCGAGCCACACTCGGGAATACCAATGGATACGCGCTAAAATCTGCCCCTACGCGCGAAAAAGAAGCTCAAGTACTTTTTCGCTCGTAGGGCGTTTTTCAGCGCGACAAATCTCGCTGAAATACGCCCAGGTGGGAACCATGCCCATAGGGATTAATAGGATTTCACTTCTTGAGCGTTTTTCAGCGCTTTGATCAGCGCTGAAAGATGCCCAGGTGTGAACCCAGCCTTAGGGTCTACCTGGATTTTGAGACCGTTACTCTGGGTACTCTGTAAAACAAACATGCTCAACCGAGGTAATGGTCTCCAGTTCAGTAAGCATTATATGTCTCTGGATAGCCATGCGCCTGCTTTAGGGGACACCAAAAACAGATGCAAAATACATTGTAACTCAGAAGAAAAAAAATAATTGAGGCTTTGAAACCTTAGTCAGCTTTAGAGCCCAGGAATCCACTTTTAAAAAGTGGATTCCATATTATTATTATGTTCCATAAAAAGATTTCTCTTTTAGCACCTACCCATGGGCAAGTGTAATGTATACATTTTAATAATATTGTAACATACCAAATTATCAAATAAAGTTACCAATACTCCTCTAAAGTTTAATATTTTGTATCTCGCATATGTATACTGGTCAGCACACTGCATACTACAGAAAACGTCTCTGTACAACCAGACGTTAGCCACTACTACACTCAACAAACTGTATCTGTTCCAGCACAAGCTGGCTGCGCCTGTGGAATAAAGGAGGCATGCACACTGTGCGAGTGGTGAATTTTCCTGCTAACTTGAATCTTGGATTTTGAGGGGGTGTTTAATTTATGAATAAAGCTTAACTCCTCACTTACCACAGTAAGACATGGTACAAACACTGGCCAGATACATATGAAGAATAATTTGGAGAAGTGCTATGGTAGTAGATAGATAGATAGATAGATAGATAGATAGATAGATAGATAGATAGATACGAGAGGAATAGATAGATAGATAGATAGATAGATAGATAGATAGACAGAGAGGAGAGGAATAGATAGATAGATAGATAGATAGATAGATAGATAGATAGATAGATAGATAGATAGATAAATAGATATTTCACAGGAAACCAAAATATGCAGATATGATAGAAATCATTATCAAAGAGAAACTAATGCAGGAAGTGGATACTTCTATTTGTAGTAGTGTTTAGCTGGAAGTGAAGTGGACAGTGCTTTGATTGTTTTATGGAAAAAGTGAGACATTTCTACACAGCACATGTAAACTGTAAAAGAGTTTAGCAGTCACTGCCTGTGATGTCTGAAACTATATATGTTTTACGTAAAACACAGCTATAAGTAACTATAAAATACCCACATTTAGTCCAATTACACATTCATCAAAAAGTATTTAATATCATCTCCTTCTATTTTTATATTAGACCTATAATCCTCTGCACAGCAGAATTCTGATTGGGGGAAGAATTAGCAACACTGTAAGCCAATCATATTCTACTGTTATGCAGAGATGGGGATGGTCTGACTGTGCGGTCTGCTAGGGGTGTGTGAATTTCATCAGTGGCTTAACAGAATTAAAGATCTTGTGACAGATGAAGTAGTTCACACACATATGTTTTCAACTGTGTATTTAGCTGCCTATAGTTCTGCCTTAGCATGTACTTTGTGATGGTCCATAACTGGCCAAATCCTAACATGTGCTTATCAATTCACACATATAGTATATTTACCGTATAAATCAAATGAAGGAAAATTGGATATTACCTAGTATAATGCTGAAATTAAAGTAATTGTATAGTGAAAGAAAAAAGGGAGGTTCAGCTGCGGACAGGTTTTTAAGTATGCAAGCAGTGGACTGGCATCTCCGTCTTGGCTTCACTAGCTAGCAAGTCAATGGCCTGGCTCAAACATACAGTCAGTTAAGTCTGAACTACTGTCCCGTCAAATTCATAGGGAAGAGATTCACTATTGCTCCTGGCGATTTCAACTTTTAAAACAAATCAGCAGTGGCAGCTTTCCTATTTCTACCCTTAGAGGTTCCTTTCACAAGTCGATTTACTAAAGAACTTCCAAATGTGCAAATCTGTATTTTCTTCATATATCTATTTTAGTAAAAATGGAATAATAAAAAAAAAAAGGTTGCTGGTTTGGAAATGATTCATGCAATCTTTAACTAGGTCTGCGCTACAATCTTCTACCTCATGTAATGTATAAATGAATTATTACATACATATCATTTAGTACTTTTTTTAAATAAAGACTCGTATTGTTAGAACTTTAAAAAGCACCAAAATCAACTTATATGAACTGTTTTTATTCAGTACATAAGATACAACATGGTATTTTATGACTTATTAATATGTACCTTGCAGTGATAGAATATTCCCAAACTTGGAAGTGACAGCTGTCCTCATTCAGCAAAGAGTTAATCTGAGGAATTTAGAGAACACTGATTCAGCCTGACTTGCTGTCCTGGCTCATACAGATCTCCTGCCTCAAAAGTAGAAGGACCACACTGATAACTTTCTTTTACACTCTACTTTCAGCCAAAGCACTACGATGCCAGCCACTGGAACCTTTTCTCTGCTGTATTTAATATGCCTCCTAGGTATACCTGTCCAGAAATCTTGGGCATTGCAAAACCCAGAGCTGCACTTCTACCCTAAGAATGAAGTCAACCTACTCTCAGAAAGTCTTCTGCAGATTGGAACAGGATTAAGAAGAGAAGTTAACTACACCAAAACGCAGATCAGCAGTATTTTCCAGCAACTGAAGCAGTTTAACTCATCCCTGGCAAATCTGTCAGAGCAAATAAAACAAACCAGTAAACTTGGGGAAGAACTTGACACCAAAGCAAGAGGCTTTGAAGATAATGATAAGATGTATGAGGTTCTTGCAGAAATATCTGAAGAACTTGTTAAGTTGCAGAAAGAAGGAGCATCTCTCGATAACACGATCAAGCCTCTAGAAAAGAAGGTAGAGACAGCTCTGGATACAAGAGAAGAGAGAGAATTCTTTGTCAACACATCACATATTCTGGTAAGAACCTGGGATCGCATTCATTCAAAAGTAATTGTTCTATTTAATAAGACAAAGGGCTCTATAACGGATGTAGTTTTTGATATTGGCTAACAGGAATAATACATTATCTTTTATTGCTGTCAATATTCCTAGACAGAAATAATGTGTTCCAGCTTTTAGTAACACACATTATGTAGGTAATTCTGTATTGTGTTGGTTGTGGAGAAAAATTTACATATATATTTTTTTCAGGTTGTAGCGACTTAATTGATGAATAATAAGGTACTGCTACAATATGTGCACTCTCTTGGTAACAAAAAAGTATAAATTATGCTGTTCTTACAACTTTGGTAAATCCAATTTGTATTTTTGGATGTACACACATATTATGCTTAGTTTTTCATAAATATTAGCCTGGATTTTAAATTTGTAGCACTAGTAATATTGCTTTCTATGCAACTGAGTGCAACTGAATTGCTTGCTAAGCAGCAATTATAATATTGCCATTCAGAGCAGAGGTGCTCAACTAATCTGATGTTGGGGTGCCAAGTATCTGTATACTATGGCTGGGGACCCCATCTGTCAGCTTACCATTATGTTTAGGCTCAAAAATATATTTTTATTTAAAATTCTATGTATTTTTTTCCCTTAAAATCTGGAAATGCTCTTTTTGGTGTCCCAAATCACAGGTTACAAACCTAGGACATAGAATAACCAGTTAGGGTACAGAAAGCTTCAGCTTTTTTTAGTGTGTGTGTTAAGCTTGTGTCCCTAATTCTGGGAGCTGGGATGACTAACAGTATGTATACTAGTTAAAAAACATTTAAAAACACACACTTATTTTTGCATATGATTCTTTGAAGAGGACTGGAAATCATGCATTGTTTGTGGTCTATGAAGACCACATTTTAGATTTGCTTGGGCAGAAAAATGGGGCAAAGGAAAATAAGCTGCTGCCAATTCAGCCTACATAATGAAATGTAGAACCTGACTGGTGTCTTCTTAAGCTAACTTTTGTTTCTTGATTCCAGTTCTCCCTATTTTGAAACCAAAAGCATAGTGATCTTTAGTGTGAAGATACATTTACAGTACACGTGCCATAGGAGGATTGTATAGGCTGTCATTGTTGATTGATCCTAAAACTGCTTATTGCTTGGCTGCCATGCTGATCCAACATGGATTAAGTATAGAGTTAAGAAACTGTACATTTTTTTTATTATTTTCATTCCCTATTTGCTTGATCCAGGTAAAGGAGTCAGGACTATTGATACCAGACATACCCAAGCAACAAACATTTCCAGAAAGAGGACAGTCTTGGTTTCCACTATGTTTCTCTCATTATAGGTGTACTTTGACCAATGACTACACAATATAAATAATTAATGAACTACATATTAACACAACAGTTGAGATTTTCAATTTTAAATGTATTCTATTAAATGCATCCTCACCGATATCTGAGATGTGTTAAATTAATTTACCATATACTAGTACAAATTAAATATCCACAACAAACTTTCCCTTTTGCAGGCAATAATTGAAAAGCAAAATATGCAGATTGATACACTCCAGACAATAGTGGACAGCCATCAAGACCACATCAATTCTCAGGAAGCCAAAATACAAAGATTATTAAGGAAGGTAAGTGAACAACAGAGCTATAACTTAAACATATTTCTGTGATGGTTTTACAATAATATTTCAGGAAGAAACAAAATATTCTTTTATGTCTGTGGGTGATCCTATCTGATCACGTTTGGCTTTACACACATCTTACTATTGTGGCATTATGCTATGTAAACATAGGACTGACAAGGCTACAGCTGGAAACACATTCCTCTAAAAGATATATAGCAGCTTATGCATACATGGAATACATATTATTATTATTAGACAGAATTTAGAAATTACAATACAATTCAAGACAAGATGGTAAGAAGGGCCCTGCTGTGAAGGCTTACAATCTAAAAGGGAGGGGCAAGTGATACATGAGGAGGTAACTGTGTGGGGATGAATTGCATGAGAACATGATGGTTCAGTGGTTCTTTTGAGGTGGGATAGGCTTCCCTGAAGAGCCGAGTCTTAAGTGATCGCCTAAAGGCAGTCAGAGTGGGAGAAAGATGGACAGGTTGGGGTAAAGAGTTCCAGAGGATGAGAGAGACTCTAGAGAAGTCCTGGAGGCGAGCATGGGAGGAGTTGACAAGGGAGCTGGAAAGCAGAAGGTCTTTTGAAGAGCAGAGGGGATGGTTAGGGTGATACTTTGAGACAAGGTTTAAAGATATAGCCAGGGGCAGAGTTTTGAATGGCTTTGTAAGTGGTTGCTAATATTTGAATTTAATTCTTTGGGCTATTGGAAGCCAGTGGAGGGATTGGCAGAGGGGGGTTGCAGACACTGAGCGGTTGGTTATATGGATGAGTCTAGCAGCACCATTCATGATAGACTGAAGCGGGGATAGCCAGTGTAGAGTTAGGCCAATGAGGAGGGAGTTGCAATAGTCAAGACGGGAGATAACAAGTAAGTGGATGAGTAGTTTTGTGGTTTCATTGGTGAGGAAGGGGCGTATTTAGGAGATGTTAAAAAAGTGAAGGCGGCAGGATTTGGATAGGGATTGGATGTGGGGCAGAAAGGTGAGGTCTGAGTCAAGGATGACACCTAGCACCTTGGCATTGAGGGAGGGTTTGATAGTTGTGTTATCAATCTCAAGGGAAAAGTTGGGGGAAGGTGCACGTGCAGGAGGAAATATCATGAGCTCAGTTTTTGAAAGGTTGAGTTTTAAGAAGTGTTGTGACATTCAGACTGATATGTCAGTTAGTAGATTAGCGACACGCAAGGACACTGAGGGGGTGAGTTGTGGAGTAGAAAGATAGATGTGAGTGTCATAGAGATAGTATTGGAAGTCATTTGAGGTTATTAACTGACCAAGAGAGGTGGTGTAGATAGAGAAGAGAAGAGGTCCAGGGACCGAATCTTGGGGGACCCCTACAGAAAGAGGAAGAGGAGGAAAGGAGTTAGATTTGTTAGGTTTTCGGTTTTTTTAACTTTAGGTTATTGACTGGGGAAATATCCTGGAATTCCACATTACAGCTCTCACACATGGTAAGGTAATGCTGCACAGTACTAAAAACAATGACAATGTATTGGATACAAGTGTTTACATAGTAACGTTAGTTTAAAAAAAAAAATGGTAATGAAAAGTATCTGATATGTTGGAGATCGTATCCCATTTTAAACATAATCTGGTGATAAGTTATGGGTTGCTCACAACAATCTACACTGAACAGTACATGAAGATGTTTGATGAAAGTCATCTGTAAATATGACTGTTTGCAAACAAATAAATCAGAAACACTTGTGTTATGCCAGCTTAAATGGTACCCATAAACATAACACAGTTTAGGATGGCAGTTATCAGTATAGTGCATACAAAAGACTAACCTTGGTATTCCCTGCCAGTCAAAAGGTGGACTGATCACTAGAGATGAACATCTGTGGGGCAGAGAAATTGAGATCTGGCCTGGATCTGCATCTAGTTGATGTTGGCAAATTACAGGCAATTTCATTTAAGTTAAATTGCCTGTAAGTTATTTAATAGAAATCTGGCTGGGTGTCCTAGTGTGAGCACCATGCTTTGCCGATATCAGCCTGTGTATCATAGGCTAATGGTTCCAGAGGAAGAGGTCTATAAAACAAAAGGTGTGCTGATTATTTCATAACACCAGCCAATTGCTGAAGGAGCTACAGGTTCTTCTTGGCTCATTTTCATAACACCAGCCAATTGCTGAAGGAGCTACAGGTTCTTCTTGGCTCAGGAATCCCAATAGGCAGGGACGGTTATCTGCAACTTACAGTGGAAATAAATATTGTCCTCCCCTGATGTCTACCACATTGGTACAGGGAATTTGGACCTCCTACCTCTTCATTAAACCAAGATCTAAACTATTGTTGGTCATAGACACATTCAGCTGCGCAAGCTTGGGTGCGATGGACAACTGTCATCTCATATCTATGGTCACGTTTAAAAAGACATTTGCACACTTAGTAATAGTTTGTTTACTTAAAGGAGAACTATGAGGTGAGTGCTTTTCACTCACCTCATAGTTCTAGCCGACCTGTGACAATGAGACTGTCACAGGTCGGCTCAGTAGATCGGGAGGTGAGCGAACACATACCGGGTTCGCTCGCCTCTCGATCCTGTCACGGCTCTCTGCCGTGACAGGGGGAGGGGCTGGATTCCCCTCTCCCCGCTCCGATCTGCCAGCGCTGACTGGCGGAACGGACGGGGGAGGGGGCGGGTACAGCTGGCTCTGCCTCTAGATAGGCAGAGCCAGCTGTCACTCACGCAGCTGGGCGGATCCCGTCATCTACATCGGGATCCGCTCCGGCTGTGGCGTCTCAGTATACTGCGAGCTGTAGCTCGCGGTATACTGAGCTTAGGGTAACAGGAGGACGCCAGTTTGTGTCCTCGCGTTACCATAAGGAGAACTATGGGGAAAAACACTGACCCCATAGTTCTCCTTTAAAATATCATATCCCAGTTCACTGGTCACTAATTGAATAAAATCTTTTAGAAAATTCATAGAAATTATCTAGCAGAAAAACCATAAACAGCTACGTTTCGGAGGTGGGCCAAACCTCATCTTTACGCTGCACCAGTTGTGGTTTTCAGAGCTGCATAACACATTTATAAATAAATCACAAAAATAAGATCTGCTGACCAATAACTGCTTCAAACTATTGGCGTAGTCTAAAACAATGTAGGTAAAGTCCCTTCCCCACTTTAAAATCCATTCATTAGACTAGAACCACTACACAACTAGAGTTGTGTACAATTATAAATCTAAATGTATGTTATGTCAAGTCTATTATCTTCTATGTGTAGGATTATATTAAAAGTGGGATATCTATGATGTTAAATTAATGAATGTTATTAGTCACTAACAAATCATAATAAAATTCAAAATCCTTTAAACTGTAAAAAAAAAGGAAACCTGAAAGTCAAAGAATGACATTTTTTAAATATTTAATTGATGCATACTGACTTGAACATTATTATGCAGACCCGCTCAAAAAACCTGAAGACCAAAAAGAGACGCAATCTAGGTCTTCGAGAGGGTAGTAAAGATGGACGCATCTTCAAGCGTAAGTACTCATTTTCCTTTTACATTTTGAACCATTAATAAACCCAAAAGGGGCTTGCAATGTAATGTCCTTACCACAATCATATAAGCACACATATGGACACGCACTCTACAGTGACTTAACCCATCTGCATGTTGTTGGACTGTTGAAGGAAACCTTATTAAATGCTTATCTTATGCTAAAGAAACCCATGGAAATGCAGAACATACAACTTTCCTGCAAATTGTTAGGAATTGCTAGTTATTTGAATTAGGACATCATTTCTGCTAACCACTAAGCCACCATGCTGCCCATTTCTGTTGTAATAGTAGAGCACAGCAACTATAGTAGTAAAACTACTAACCACAGCTCATTATGTCGTGAGCTAGCCGGGATGTATCCCAACAATGCTTTCGAGATTTCGAGAAAGCTGCGTGAGTGACAGCTGGCTCTGCCTATCTAGAGGCACAGCCAGCTGTACCCGCCCCCTCCCGTGTCCGTTCCTCCAGTCATCACTGGGGGATCAGAGAGGGGAGGGGGGGAATCCCTGCAGGGATTCTGGAGGGTGGCTACTTGTGTTCCCCATGGTCCCTGTATGTGTTGTAAAGTAGTCACCGCTCCAAGCTCACTCCTGTGATGGACTACAGTCTCAATACAAATTAGTAAACTAAATGTGAGATTGTAGTCCATCAGAGCAGTGAGCTTGGAGCAGTGGCTACTATACAACACACACGGGGACCATGGGGAACAAATGTAGCCACCCTCCAGAAGGAAGGACAGTGTCAGTACCAATTCAGAGATGATTTGAGGATCTACAGCCGAGTGATACACAAATAAGATACATTATTGTTAATAGTTAAGGTACCTGAATGTATTTTTAAGATTTACCTCTGTCACTTTACGTGAGGAGAGATGGAGAAGAACAACATACACATACATATGCACACTGGCCATCACACACACTAAGAGGTTTTTCTTAACCCAGCAGAACATGCACAATCAGAACACTCGGTGCACATACACTAAAAACATACTCCGAGCACACAGAACATTCAGTGCACATACAACACATAGGTCACACACACACACAGAACACATGGCCCGAACAGTGAGAACACACGATTTAAAGTGCCACTCATCCATTGGTGTCAGCACCAATTCAGAGATGATTTGAGGATCTACAGCCGAGTGATACACAAATAAGATTTTTGTTAATAGTTAAGGTACTTGAATGCCTTTTTAAGATTTAACCCCTGAGTTTAGTGTCACTTTACCTTTTGACATTGCACTTCAAATTTGTCATATTGCTTCCATGGATCAGGCCATGTATGATTACCCTATCCCTCTTGCATAAACTGTAATTTTGGATAAAGACAGAAAATAACTGAAGGAGTTGCATATTTTCACATTTAGAATGATACAAGGTATTTTTTGCTACCATGGATAAACTAGCCACCAGCATCTGCTATGTTGGCATGCCATGATGTCCTTGGTTATAATACAGCAAATATATAGCTAATAGCTTCTTGTAAATAATTGTGTAACTTTGGCTTTCTTGTAGTATGCATAAGATTGTATTAATTTTCCAAGTTTCAAAATATAACATATCCAATATCTTAATATAATAATTTTCCAATTAGAAGGGGTGTGATCTGCTGTTAAAACTCAGCCAGCGATACACATTGATAGCCCTTTCCCGCAGCCCCATCTGCAAAAACTGACATGCACTATGTGTTCAGACACCTTTCCACTTGAACCAACATTTACTTTTTCAGCAATTTGAGCTACAGTAGCTCTTCTATTGCATTGGTCTACATGGGCCAGCCTTTGCTCTCCAGGTGCACCAATGAGCCTTGGCCACCCATGATGAGCCTTGACCTTAATCCTTTCTTGTAACACTTTTGTTAGGTTTTTGACTATTGCAGATAAGGAATATCCCTCAAGAAATGCAGTTTTGGAGTTGCTCTGACCAACTGATCTAGCCACCGCAATTTGACCCCTGTCAGAGTTGCTCAAATCCTTATGCTTGCCCATTTTTTCTGCTTCCAACACATCAACTTCTTGAACAAAGAGGGACATTTATTACAACGGGAGTAGACAGATTCTGGAGCAACTGCCCATAGTAACGAATCTGCTTCTCTCTTTCATTTTCAAAGCTTAACTGGACAAACTGAAAAGAGAAGCTGATTGGTTGCCATAGGTTACTGCTCCAGATTCTGTCTGCTCCAGTTTTGATAAGTTCCCCTCAAAATCTTCACTTGCTGCCTAATATATCCCACTCACTTCCAGGTGCCATTGTAACGAGATAATCAATGTTTTTCACTTCACCTGTCAATGGTAATAATGTTATAGCTGAATGGTGTATATTACTATGCATACCAACTGAAAAAAGAACTCCGGGTATAAATATTCTTAAGCCTTGCAGTGGGACTACCCCTGCACTGCAAGGATTAAGTGCTTGTTTTTGTCTAGGGAGGAAAATAACAAAGATATACTCACCTGACCCTTGCAGCAGTCCCTTCAGTTTCTCTTCCTAGTGGTCTGAGGTCCTGTGAGTCACCAAATCCTATATACAGTGTATAGGATGTGAGGACCTAGAGGGACATTCCATTGGTGTATATCTTTGTTATTTTCCTCCCTAGACAAAAAAGAGCACGTAACCCTTGCAGTGCAGGTGTAGCCCCACTGCAAAGGTTAAGAATATTTATGCCCGGAGATCTTCTTATGATAGAACTGTTTTATAGGTATACGAGTCAAATCTGACATCATGCTAATATTTTCTTTAAACAGCACAAAACTGAAGAAAATGCATCTCCTCAGTCACACAAAAGAAACACTATTCGCGGATCCTGTGTTTGTATGATGGAGCCCGGAAGAGAAACCAAGATATAATTTATTTGTCTGAGATTTGCTATATGATGACAACAAGCTGACAATGTTGGTTCTTTGTGTCACTATGCAGCAAAAAGCAATCAGGGTGTGTATAAATGGTTCATTTAAACATTATTCAATATAGAGATGCTCTCATCTGTTCCCATTGTAAGTGCTTGTTAAATAAAAAGAATAGGACCACATTTGGGGCACATCTGTAAACTGAGCAATGCTTTATAGAAAGAAGCATTATATGGTTCTGAAAAACACTGGGTCAAATGATGTACACATGACATGTTGTATGTAATAATTACACACCAACACATTTGCATTGACAGCTAAATACATTTAAAACTAAAGGCATTTGAAATAAATAAAATACTTCCTGGCAAATCCCCTGTCGTATTTCTTTATTTATTACAGATATTTATATAGCACCAACAATTTATGCAGTGCTGTACAAACTACACATTCACATCAGTCCCTACCCTCAAGGAGCTTACAATCGAATGTCCCTATCTCACATGCAGGGCAGCCATCAGGGGGGTACGGTCGATACTCATGTAAGGGGCACGGGCAGCCTGGGGGGCCCGCCCGGGTCCCTTACATGACTATCGGCCGACGGTGAAGGGCGAGGAGTCGGAGGACTGGCCCTAGCAGCGCAGTGCCCCAGCATTGCCGCTCCAGCGGCTTCAAGACAAGCTGGGGCCCCATCAGCGATGCTGCTCGTCTGATGTCGTACTGGGCGGAAGTGACGTCACGTTAGTGACGTCACTTCTGGCCTGTCCGGCGGCAGACGAGGCCATGTGTGCAGGTAAGAGGAGCTAGGAAGGTAGGAAGGAAAGGAGGGAGGGATGCAGCCCTGACCAGCCCACCTGAGACCCCTTCAGAGCCCACCATAGACAGTCTCAGATGGGCTGTGTAGCATCTATGGTGGGCTCTGCAGGGTCACTATTAGGTGGGTCCTGTGTCCAGCACGTCGCTAAGCCCTGCGTCCAGCGCATCACTAAGCCCATGTCCAGCGGCAGGGGGGGGCCCGGCCTAAAGCCGTGTAAGGGGCCCCAAAATTTCTGATGGCTGCCCTGCTCACATGCATATACACACTAGTGCCAATTTAGACAGGAGTCAATTAACCTTCCAGCATGTCTTTGGCGTGTGGGAGGAAACCGGAGTATCCGGATGAAAACCCACACAAACACAGGGAGAACATGCAATCTCAATGCAGATAGTGTCTTGGCCGGGATTCAAACCAGGGACTCCACAGCTGCGTGGCAGAAGTGGTAGCAATAGAAGAAGTAGTAGTACTAGCTTATAGTTAGGTCTATCCATTATTTATAGTAATGGGCTTGTTCAATAAAACAATGCAAGAGGCAAAGGGGTTGATTTACTAAAGGCAAATAGGCTGTTCACTTTTTGTTCACTTTCAAGGAAATTTGCACTAAGCAGGGGACGTGTGCCCTTAGTTTAGTGAATAAGGAGAAGCTCTGCTGACTTTCATCACCCAATAATGTTCGAGAAAAAAATGCTGTTTTTTTTATTTTCCTTGCACATGATTCTTTACAAAGAGAAATTGCACCACATTCAGTAAGCTGAGGGAAACTTCCCCTGCAAAGTGAACAGCCTATTGCCTTTAGTAAATCAACCCCAAAATCCGTAGGTGTAAGCATCAATAGCAAACAAGATTTCTATACTAGCGTGACTGGTTGCAGGAGGTTATTGCACTTTGTCTCTTGCACCTTTTGTGAAAATGCAACCGAAAGGCAGAACTTAAAGTGACATTAACCTCCCTGGCGGTATGATTCTTTTCTGTTTCGTCTTTTTTTCGGCTCTATTTTTTTCGCCCACGTGCCGCTTCCTCCCACGTGCGACGCGTACACTCGCAAGGGACGGAACTCGGAAGACAGATGCACGGCTCGAGGGACAAGGTAAGTGAATACTATGCGATATTCCCGAGTGTAGCTCAGGGTATGGAGAAGTAACCCCGAGCTACACTCGGGAATACCGCCAAGGAGGTTAAAGTCACATTTACCGCCCTATGCTAGTGTAAGGACTTACCTTAAATGATGCCTATTGATCCGATCATCTTCTTCTTTCCAGTAGTTTTCAGGAGTCCCTCCAGCGCTGGTGCCGGTATCTGATCTAGCGCTGACTGCTGTGTCTTCTTTGTCCTACGGAATCCATGTGGGTGCACGCTGCTGGGATGCGTGCATTGACTTACCCTGTGTCTCTCCTCTTCTCTCTGACAAAGATCTCAACTACGCATGCGTAGTTCGTAAGTTTGTACCTTTTTAGTAACTTGTTTTTTCTTTTAATATTTTTGCATATATCTACTGCTTGCTAGCAGTAGATATATGCAAAAAAAAACCCCAAAGGTTTCTTTGTACTTTAATTTAAAAAGGCTTTTGGATGGCTAAATCAACCTTTTTTCACATTTTAAAAGTATGCAAAATCTTGAGGAACCCCAATCTGTACAAAAAAAGCGGGTTTTCCCCTAAACATTAGAGTCCTTCTACATCAGACGCCCCCTTTACATTACTGACCCCCCTTTCACATTAGCGTTCCCCCTTCAAATCAAGACCACCCCTTCACATCAAAAGCCCCCTCCTTTCACATCAGAGTCCCCCTCTCCCACACCAGGAGTCCATGTCACATTAGAAGCCCCCCAAACACGTACATCAGAGTCCCTCCTCCCTCTCACATCAGAGTCTCCCATTCACATCAGAGTCCTCACTTCCTCATCACATTAGAGTCCTCTGTCAAAGTGCCTCTGTGCAAACATTTCAAGGTACCCCTGAGGATGCTGCAGCACCCTGGTTGAAAAAGACTGGTTTAAATAAACAGTTTTTGTAAATAAATAAATACAAACAAACAAACTTTACCAAGCTATAACAACAAATATTTGCCATAGCCATTGATATTTTCAGCTGTATGGCCATTATTTTCAGCTCTCATTGGTTCTCGCTGCTGAAAGAAATTGTCATTGTGGCAAATAATGATTGTTATAGGTTAAAGTGTATGTAAAGTTAGCTTTGGATAAAACTGGAAAGATTTGGAACTCAAGTCAGGATTTTTGTTTTTTTTTGGTCTGTCTGCATGCCTGCTGCACCCTTTCAATTGGTGACCATTGTCTCTGGTACAAAAAGTAATAGGAAATCAAAAATGTTTTAATTGTCACAGGAACCTGAGGCAAAGGGAAATCTTCCATGGAAGAAACCCTTTTTGGTGAGAACTGGGGATATCTCCACACTTTGGGGAGACCTCCTCTTATTCCCTGTTGTATCTCTGGGACAGGAAGTAAGTATTAACACCATAGAAAAAAAACATGTTACAAAGCAAAAATAAAGACACCTGGCGGTACACAACCCCTTTAAATGTACTGTATATTACTGTCATTCATTCTTCCTCCTGAGAATGTAATGCCTTGCTTCAATTGTAACATAAATCCCCTGTAAGCACCAAGCCAGTTGTGTTGAAGATTATGTGCCAAGTAGGGTGAAGTTCAGAAAGCTGAGTGAACATTTTTATCTTGCTCTTCCATACATCTAGTTCCCATTAAACAGACCACTTTCATGCAGACAAAGCATACCAGCACAAAACAATAAACAATAACAGAGAGAAAGAATTACTTTTGGTTTAGAAAGATTAATTGTTCCCCAGTCAGGACATATTTATTGTGACCTCTGGCTGGAGAAAACATTCCATCTCCTCCTCTGTGTCTTAAAGATTTATTCCATGGGGAAAATTATGGTGAGAGTTTCGGAAGTCTAATTATCCTTTGGTGCTGCGAGTTACAACATATTATGACAAATGAATGTTAGAACTATATCTTGCTTTATTTTGCCCTGTTCAAACCCTTAATTAATGGCAAAATGCAGTAATTCACAACGCCATTAACCTGATGATTTGTAATATCTATGGGTTAATGCACTTTGCCCGTCACCGTTGCTTATAGTATAGGGCTGATAAAGTTTTGTTTAATAACATTGTGGAGAAAATCAAATTATTACTGTAATCCATGGCAACCAGTGGTTTTAGCAGTTTAATGCAGCTAAACTAATTAAATCTAACCGGTGTTTTCTTTTAGCCACTGCACAGAAATGCTGTTTACATTGATTTGTTAAATGAAAACCCATATTAAATTAAGTCGCCTTTGACTACTCTGAATCACTGGAAAAAGTCCATCCGTGGAAATGTTCTTGCTACTAAATATTCCGCGGTCAACTGTTACACTATATTGCAAAAGTATTAGGACACCCCTCCAAATCATTGGATTCAGTTGTTCCAATCACCTCCATGGCCACAGGTGTATAAAATCAAGCACCTAGCCATGCAGACTGCTTCTACAAACATTTGTGAGAGAATGGGTCACTCTCAGGAGCTCAGCGAATTCAAGCGTGGTACCGTGATACATTGCCACCTGTGCGATAAGTCCATCCGTGAAATTTTCTTGCTACTAAATATTCCACGGTCAGCTGTTAGTGGTATTATAACAAAGTGGAAGCAACTGGGAACAGCAACTCAGCCACGAAGTGGTAGGCCATGAAAAATGCGGGGTCAGCGCATGCTGAAGCACACAGTACGCAGAAGTCGCCAACTGTCTGCAGAGTCAATAGCTACAGACCTCCAAACTTCGTGTGGCCTTCAGATTGGCACAACAACAGTGTGTAGAGAGCTTCATGGTATGCGTTTCCATGACCAAGTAGCTGCATCCAAGCCTTACATAACCAAGTGCAATGCAAAGCGTCGGATGCAGTAATGTAAAGCTCGCCGCCACAGGACTCTAGAGAAGTGGAGACGTGTTCTCTGGAGTAATGAATCACTCTTTTCTGTCTGGCAATCCGATGGACGTGTCTGGTTTTGGTGGTTGCCAGGAGAAGGGTACTTACCTGACTGCATTGTGCCAAGTGTAAAGTTTGGTGGAGGTGGGATTATGGTGTGGGGTTG